AATCTTTTGAATTTACCGCATTCACACCATTCTCTGTCATGGTGCTAAAAATGACTAATGCAGCTTGGAGACTGAGAATCTGTGATAGCTGATCATCTTTTCCAATCATACACTAACACACACACTTACATGCACACATGCTCAGCTGACATGAATCCTGAAAGGTTTAAAATATCCTTTATGCTAAATGGAATGCAGAGGCATGCAAGGTGCTGAAACATAGCTGTATCGTCATTTCTGTCAGAAAAATTGGTTTGAGGTTTAACTGGATAGACTGATCTTGTTTTAAACCAAATTGGTCACTATAATATATAGCTTAAGTTTTATACTTGAAATAATCTCTGGCATTTCACTTCTCAAATACCCTATTTCATTTTATCCTCTCACCCTCTCTGAGGTAAAAATGAAACACTCTCTTTTTTAAATAGAAGCCAACATTCTTTGAGAGAAGGGGACCTACTCAAGGTATGCATGTGGTGGAAGGATCACTGTATTTTAGACTCTAATTAGTCACTGTAAGCTGACATGAGATCACTGGAACCAAATCATCTAAATGATCTTCATTTTCTTTCTTGGTGAAAGTTATTCTGATGACTAAGGGACTGTCGTAAACACAGAAATATTCTACTCCCAGAAAAACACAACAGAATCTCCTGTGATGTCATTCAGAGAATGATAGAGAAGTTTGTGGGCTGAGATAGAGTAATTAGGTGAAATATAAGATGATTACATTCAAAAGGAGAACATTAGTTGACTATCATTCAGTTGCAGTGAGGTCTTTAGGAATTTTCCATAAGGTTCTAATTTTGGTCTTGTCCAATTCAACAATTTTATCAATTACCTGGAAGAAGTGTAGGCTCTTGCTTACTAATTTTGTAGGTGGCAAAAAGCTAGTAAAGAAGTAAGGATTAGTGATATACTAGATGACAGAATCAAGTTTTAAAATGCCTGTGGATTAGGATAATAGGTTGACATTTATTAAGGATAAACTCTTAGGTTTAATTAGAAAAAAATGTGATGAATGGAAGTAAACTGAGAGCAACTATTAAAAACGGGAAAAAAGGGCCTCCCCTGGTGGCCCAGCAATTGAACCCTGGGCTGCGAAGCTGCCCGCAGCCTCTGCAGCGCCGGTTCAATCCCCGGCCGCCGGTCGAGGGTCCCACATGGCACACAGACCTATCCTGCCGCGCCTGCTGCTCCCCTCAGCAGTGTATCTTGTCAGTCTGCCTGTTCTGTTCCCCGCTCTGGCTCTGGTGATTTCTCTCACCCTCCCGCGCTTCTGACTGTACCCAGTGCTTATATAAATAAGTAAATAAATCTTTAGAAAAATAGAAAAAAAAACACTTAGGAATTTAGTTGACCATAAGCATGATACAATTACTAGAGAAGTCAACATTATCCCTGTTAAAATTCAGAGAGGGGGCAGAGGAAGAAGGAGAGGAGAGTGACTAAGAGAGGGAGAGGGAAAGAGGAGGCAGGGAAAGACGGAAGGAGGTGGGGGAGAGAGAGAAAGAGAGAGAGCATTGATAAAAGTAATATGCTATATGTCTATTCTCATTGTATCCATCTTGAGTATTGCATTCTATTCTGGAGACCACATTTGAAGAAAGATAGTGACAAATTATTGTTTGTTTAATGTATGGATATATTCTGATAGTGAAAACTCAGGGAATCATGTAATATAAAAACGCTGGAGTGGTGTGTCTATAAAATATAAGGGGATCATAATAGCTATTTTTATCGAACATTTACTGTCTGTGTTAATTATTTAATCCTCACAACAATATAATGAATTATTTATTGCTGTTATTGGCATAGAAACTAGACACATAGTCTACCTGGATTTAAAGCTGACCTAGGAACCTATTCTCTTAACATTGTAACACATTATTTTTCCAGATATTTATCAAATATTGTGGAGTTATTATCTGTGTATAAAATTAGACATATTCTATAGAACATAATTATCATGGCTAGACTCAGGTTATATTTCAAAGTGGAGTATTTTTTATCAGAAGACACTTGGCCATTTTCTGGTTTGGGTATAATGTTAGAGTAGATGACCTTTAAGGTACTGCCCAATGGTAAAATTCTTACAGGGATACTATTTGATGTAACACAATATTATTATGAATAGGAGAAAATCCCTTAAAAGAAATAGTAAATTAATTAGTGGTAATATAAATGGTGTTCTCTTGAATAGAATTTAGTTTGTGCCCCATCTTACATCCCATTGTGCTAAGATGTCATCACCAGTGTCTTTGATAAACCTCCTTTCATGGATACCAAGCTCTGCCAAAGTGATATAAGCTTTAGTTTATCCATGTTTCACTATATCTAGGATTTTATTAATAATTTCCTATATGCAGACTCCCCCCCCCCCATTTAAGAAGGTTGTATTGCATCAGTTAACAAATCTTGCTAAAAAGTCCTTATTTGGGGGGTGACTCCTAAAGTCTGTTTGGTTTCTTGAAATCAATCTTGGCATTGGTTTTTTTAATGCTGAGGGGGGTCTCTGTCAGATAGTAAACATGATGGTTGGAGCACTTCACTTTCTTTTTTCTACTTTTATTGTTACATGAAAAAAATAAGGAAAATAATATCATCTTTATTAGATTGTTGTAATATATGTAATAGTGCATATAACAGTTCTCATACTATGCAGATTTTCAATATAAATTTGGGTTTTCAGTGAAATGTATTTGTAGGAATAGTTGTATGTAATAACAAATTTGTCCCTGGCTCCTAGGAGGTAAACTCTTAAATCCTTTGAATTTCCTGAGTTAGTGGAATATCTTTGTCATTCATGGTGGGCAGTTCTAAGTTATCCATGGCTGGCACCCTGATTGTTTCTGCTATGAGATGACTCAGATCCAATAGTAAACTGGCCAGCAAGGAAGACCAGCCAAATGATTAGAGAGTTGGGGTTTTGAGCCACATGATATCAGCCTAGATGTTGGGAGAGGAGCATGGCTAGAGATTGAATTCAACCACATGACCAGTAGTTCAACCAATACTGCCTACATAATATAGCAGAAATAAAAACCCTGGACACTGGATCTCAGGTGAGCTTGCCTGGTTGTCAATATTTTCTAAGAGTTATCCTACATTGACATGCCAGTTGGGTACATTCCTGTGGATGAAGGAAGTTTCACTTTGGGAATTCTCTGCAACCTTGTTCTGGGTGTCTCTCCCTTTGACTCATTTTGATTCTTATTCTTTTGCTATAAACAAACAGTAATCACAAATGTTATGTTTTCCTGAGTTTTATGGGTCATTCTAGTAAACTATCAAACCTTAGGGAGTCTGTAGAGACCTCCAAATTTATAGCCAGCTAATCAGAAGTGATAGTGATCCTGGGTCTCTCCAAATAAGTAGTTAATGTCCAAAAAGAGGGCAAGTTCTCCATGAGAACTTAACCTGTGAAGTTTGACCCAATTCTGAGGAAGCTGCTTAAGTATGCATATGAAAAATGTATATAAAAGATAAACTAGTAGTAATATTTTACTTTACAGTTCTTCCAGAATATCAGATGTGGTTTGATTATAGAAATTAATTTGTTAGCAAATTCTCAGAAACACATTCATTGAGTAGTGTAAAGAAAAGAAACATGTCCAACACCTATGTTTTCGGTACAGGTATAGGTAAGAATTTTCCAGGTTATCTTACAAAATCCTTATGCTTGTTTGTTATTTACATATAAAGAATCTAATCACCAGAGAAGCCAATACTTGCCACAGCTCACACATTTAGTCACTAAAGTTTGGATTGGAGCCTTTTGAAAACTGGGATCACATCTCACATAATTCTATGTAGCACAGCTCCTGCCACATAGTAAGTATTCAATATGTGTTATTGCTTAACTTTCTCAGATAACTAAAAAAGTGGCAGGGCTTGATTTTGCTCACAATTTATCAAGGACTATAGATTTATTCCTTAGAACTCTGCTATACCTACACTGAATTTATCATTCTTAACTTGATTGCTTCATCACACCCCTGGAAATTTCATGAAGGGCTTGGAAATGTTTATTTTGCTTCTTATGGCATCTTCGTGCCTAATATGGTGTCTACAACAGAATAGGTCCTCAAAAGATATTTTTTGAATGGGTGTCTGGTATTAAAAGGAGTTTTTCATTCATAGACATTAATGTGTCCATAGTTTGAAAGTAGGTAAATTAAATTAGTTACAAAAGAACAAAAGCCCATACATTTTTTAAAACATGATTTCAAGTGCACAATTATAAGAACTCTTAAAAGTAGAGAAGAATAAGCTTGTGGCATTATCTGCAAAATCAGCAAAAGGAAATTAAACAAAATTATGCTATATTAATGCCTTAGAACAAATAAAGGAAAATATCTGTAGATTTTAAATATAGCTGAAGACATTTCACTGTGACAGACATTATTGTCATCCTGTCTGATATTTCGACCAGCACAAAAACAGTAGTACTTTTATGTCTGCATGCGAATTTTTCAGATTCATTGTTTCTCCTGACCAAAGTCTCTGTAGGGAAAATTTTCCATGATCATTTGGTATTCAACTCACAATTTCTCTTTGGTTTCATAGACAAGGTTTCCAGCAAATCACAAGGAAAAAAAGATTATCCAGATACCCCATCCTCCTATATTTACACGGGACTTACCTTTTCTTAGGATTATCTATGCCAGCTATGAGGCATTATTGAATATGGCCTCTTGGAAGACCTAATAAGAATATAATGACCACTTTATTTTAAAATACACTAAAGAAAGACAGCAGGCAGGGTCTCATGAGAAGTGACATTCTGTAATTACCTCCTCCTATCAAAAGAAAAACAATTCCCAGAAATTAATGAATACAGCAAGAGTCTATTTCCTATCTTAATTCTATCTTAATTGCAAAAGTGGATCAATTAAAAAAAGGCTACACTGGCAAAGCCCTTCTCTTAAGGTTTTGTCTCCCAATTCTCTAGTCATTAAATCAATATATATATAAGCATACCATGAACCTATTTTTACCTTCTGAGATGAGATATACCAACTCCACCAGCAGTGCCCCTGTGAAGCAGCCAAATCCATTGAACAGTGTCAAGAAATTCAAAGAGGTCCCTTTCATGGTACTTGGAACAAATCTGCATGATATTACAGAGTCTGAGAGAAAAGAGAAGGTCAGACTTTAGAACAATCTCTCTAAAACACTTTCTTAGATACTGTTCAAATTACTAAATACAAAAATATGAATGCTATATCTAAAGTATTGTATACTAAAATACTATCATAGATACTGTTCAAATTAGTGTTGCTCATACCTCAGAGAAAGTTTACTAATGCAGTCAAAATTTGGACTTTGTTACTTTAAAATTACTTTAGTAAGATATATTTTGAATACTATATTTACAGATGTCTACAAGGAATAAAATATGGCAAAATATGCCCTTATCAGCTACAATATGGTCATGTCCCCAAATTTCACCCCATTTTCAATATTTCTGATGAATTTGGATTAAGTGAGGCTTCTATGAAATAATAAAATGTCAATCTATCAATGAGGCCTATGATTCTGTGAGTCTATGCAAATCATTAGGATCCTTATGGAAAACTTGAATTTATCATATAAAATTAGCATAGAGGATAAGAGCATGGGCTTTGGAGTCAGACAAGATTGTGCTTCAATCCCAGGTCAACCATTTACTATCTCTGTGATTTTAGTTGTTAAACTTTCCAAGCTTCGATACCCTTCTCTGTGAAGGAGGAATGATATCATTACTCACTTGCAGAAGGGCTATGACCAGTACTTGCTATAATAGATATGTAAAGTGTTTAGAACTCTGCAGTCTCATTGGGACTGAATATAGGTTAGCTATTTTTAACTTTATTTGTACAAGGTATTGTGCAAAGCCCTTTAGATGCCTTTTAATTATTCCATTTTAGGAGCGACAACATATTAAACATTGGGTCTTCACAATCATTATCTTTTCCCCCCAGGTTGTTATTGGTGCAGTGATGGTGGCAAAGGTTGAAAGAAAACCGTAGAGGGAAATTGTTTTAACATTTCAATTAAAATACTTTTTTGATAGTAGAAATAGGTGAAAATAAGTATTTATGATTTTGTACATGCCATATTAACATAACTATATTAAAATATGCATGGTAATCTTAGGGAAGCATGCTAAAATATTTATGATATTTATTTTAATGTGATAGCTGGGATTTGCTTCAAAATTATACAGCAAGGAGGAAGAGGGTATGTGAATAAGGGTAGAAATGAAACAAGTTTGACCATAACTGAAAACTGTTGAAGCTGCAACATGGAGTGTTTTATGCTAATCTCTGTCTTTTATTTTTTATTTTTTTAAAGATTTATTTATGCATACAAGAACTGGGGTTCAGGCCAGAAGTACAGGGGGTGAGAGGTTTCACCAGAGACAGAGTAGGGAGCAGAACAGGCAGATCTACTGAAATACACTGCTGAGGGGAGCAGCGGGCGAGACAGGAGAGGTCTGCTGTGCATGTGAGTAGCTGCCTGGCCGGGGATCGAACTAGTGGGGCAGTGGCTGCGGATAGCTTCCTGGGTTGTGTCTTAACCCCTTGCGCCACCAGGGAGGCCCCTAATCTCTCTCTTTTAATTGTGGGTGGCAAGAAATTGTAAGGGAATTTATTAAACATCAAAGTTTTAGCAGTCTGAGTGCTTGATTGGATTATTGGATTTAAAAATTTACTTTTTGCTCTTTGGGACTTAGCAGAATTTCTTCCATGGGATATCATAAATAAACATTAAATCTCCTTTAAGAAAGGAAACTGGAGATGGAAAACAACACACTGTACACTAAACCTTTCATATTCTTCCTTTTTCTCCCTCCCTTTCCAGGAAAATTTCATCTTTGGTTTACATTTATTTTGCTGCAGTAAAACCCTGTGACTGCCCAGCAACTTGAAACGCACTTGCAAACATCTAAGCTTACTATAGTCATGTTCCTTCCTGCATTCATTGAATATTTCTGTTTTGCTTTCTGTGTGTCCTCCACATATTTTTAGTTAGCATGCAATAAACATTTAAAAGAGTCCCTATCGGTGCAGAGAGCGGGGGCTGAGTGTCAGAAAAGGCACTGAGACATCTTTCCTCGTTCCTGGATCTGGGAGGACAGAGAGCAGAGAAATGCACAGGGCGAAGGACAGTGTTAAAAAGGCAATTAATGTCCCAAATACTTATTGGGGATGAAGCTAATGATGGTGATAAATAAAATACTGCAGAGAAGGGCTTCCAATACTGGCAGTAAGGGGCTCTGGGTATCCCAGCTCTCCAGTGCAGTGCAAATCATCAGCCCGAGCTGCACGTTTTTTTCAGGAATATCCAAAGGAGAGTGTGAGGGCACCACTGAAGAGGCTTTGGGAAGAAATGATTCACATTTGTACAAAATACCTGGCTTAGGAACTTCCCTCTCTATAAATATGGGGAGAGAAACAATGGGCAGAAAGACTAAGTAGGCCGATTTCCTTCACTGAGAAAAAGCAGAATGTACAAGCCCATTATTACTCTGCTAGTTAATTATTAATCTTATGCTTTTCTCTCGCTAGAACTTCTGGTGCGGTATATAATTCATGAACACACTTTGCCAGCTCTCTGCCTGCTGGTTAATCTCTCTTTGGTGTCATTTTAGTGGTTTTGAAAGCCTCGGGTTCCCTTTTATAAGACTTAGCTTTTCATCGCCTCGGATCTCCATTTTCAGGCATCTACTTGCTTGTTCTGATCTGTAGTTTGATCACTGGCTTGATGTTTAAGGCTCCGAGATACTTCTTTTAGCATGTTATGGTATGAATATTATCAACAAGTCTGCCACTGTTTTAAATTTCTCATTTTGCTCTGAAGCCATGGTAAAAAAATATATATATATTCAAAGTGTAAGTGAATGCTGATTTTCTTGCCAATGAGAAGCAAAATGTGCCTCCAGGTGGTGGCTGGTTAGAGTTTGCAAAGGTGCCCCATTGCAACAAATGTAGAATCTACATACTATAGGACCGTAATCACCTTCCTAAGGCACCTGGTACTGGGGACTCATTGCTGGAAATTTCTTTTACTCCAGTTGTTCTTAAACAGTTAAAGTGTATTTATTGTGCTGGGTGAAAGTTATTTTGAACATATGGAGGAGAAGTACTGCAGTCCCAGAAAGAGGGGACTTTATCCACTTTATCCACTTTCAAATCATTGTTCCTTTCTTCTCCCTAAAGAGTTTCAGCTTTGAATCTCACGTTATCCGATTTTATAACCTAATACTTCTCTTTGATGTGCCATCTACCAGTCTCTAGGACATTCCCCTCTATTATTCAGAGCCATTAGTTCCTCCTTCATTGTCATCCTTACCAGTTTTATGCCTGTTTCAATTCTCAGCAATTTTAACATACACACAATCCTACCAATCTCCCATGCTGCCAACCCTTGGATTCTTGCTTCTTTGACCTGCTTGCCAATATCCTTTTGCTCTGCTCTACCTTCAATACTCATAATCATGGCCACCACTGGACCTTGTACCCCAGACCAGGATGGTGTACTTCTGTCAGGTAAGATTTAGCCTAACACTAATTTTCACAAATAAACTTGTATTTAATACAGCCATTCACTGAATGTTATCAATGACTGCTTATATACCACCACAACAGTGCTGAGCAGTTATAACTTAGATTGTCTGGTGTGCAAAGCCTAAGCTCTTTACTATCTGACACTTTTCAGAACAAGTTTGCCAGACTATGTGCTAGACCAACAACTGTAACCATCCCATAATCTCAGCTTTGTGTACCACTTTCTGACTTCCCTCAAGCACTCAGTTGCTGTCCTCTTCCAGGACCTCAACACTATTGCTCCTTTCATTATTTTCACCTTTTTCATGCCTCTTATGTCCACACTTTCTTATTTATCCAAGTTAAGTCCCAGCATCAATTATTATAATCATATTTTTTTTATATGCCCTCATTACCATGCCTATCTCTTTCTTTCTGGATTGGATTGGCAAAGCAATTCATTGTCTGCTATCTTTGTTCCTAAATTCATGTAGCCCAATATAGCAGGAGAAAAACCCATAACTATGTTTTACCAATTAATTTTAAATTCTTGCTCACAAACTCACATGGCTTCCTAATTCCCATGCCACATTTTCATTCTGTGTCCCATTGTCTTAAGCAATAATTTCATAGAGCTCACTTCTCCTCTTCCCAAACCTCCAAAAGGCTCTCCACTGTCCTCACTCAAACCCTATATCGCTGAAAATATTCAGTCAACCAGAAGAGATTCTGCACAGAATTTCCCCACTATATTTATGTGCCCCAAATTTCTGCACCTATATACTCCAAACTGTTACCACTGATAAACTATTTCTGCTGCTATCTAAAACCAAATCCTAACTTATAAATTAGATCCCAGCCTCTCTGTCTTTCCAGTATTTCCTTCTTCCCTGATACCATCACTTTTCTTTTTCTATTGAATCACCCCAACCAACATATTAGTTCTTACTTTCTGGACCTTGCTTGGCACAATTCACTGTCTGCCATCTCTGCTCAACATAAAACGTCCTTATTTTTCATTCCTTAAAAACAAAAAACATGAATAAACTACTCCATTTTAAGCCCCAGTCCTTTGTCAGCTACTGCTCCATTTTTTTGTTTCCTTTGCAGCAAAATTTCTCAAATTATCTCCAGTTCTCCCCTAAACTATTTCCATTAAGCCTTTTGTGCATAATCCACGTGAAGAAGCTCTTGTCAAAATCACCAGTAGCCATTGGTGACTATTCTTTAATACAATGGTTAATTCTCAGTCTTCACCTTTTTTGATTGATCAGCAGCTTTTGATGCAGTTGATAACTCTCTTCTCCTTGAAACTTTATCATTTGAATTATAAGTTATTACCCCCTTGGTTTTCTTCTTTTCTCACTAGTTATTTCCTTTCTATCACTTTTGCTTATTTCTTTTTTTGAATGATGTAATTGCTTGAATGACTTACTTTCTGGGACTTGCCTGGTACAATGATGGAGTGACTAAGGTCTTAGTTCTTGAATCCTTGTCTCTGCCTACACTTCCTGTCTAGTTTAACTACCTGGATAATCCCAACAAGTCCCATCACTTTAAATACTGCCGATATGATTATGACTCTCAAATTTGCATCTATTCCAAAAATCACTACAAATTCCAAACTTGAATATCTAGTTGCCTATTTGATATATCTGCTTGATGTCTCAATCTCAACATGCCCAAAACTAAACTTGTGATTTCCCCAAAGCTTTCTCGACCTGTAACCTGTTCTTTCTCTGTAGAAAGGCAATTCCATTCTTCCAATTAGTTGCTCAGGTCATAAACTTTGATGTCACCTTTTAACTCCTCTCTTTCTTTTATATCCTGCTAAAGATGTCATCAAAATATAAACAAAATTTCACTATTTCTCAGCCTCTATACTGCTACCTCCCTGGATTTACACTTTTAAAGTGACAGGATAATCAGAGAAGACTCTTAAAGAGATAATATTTGAGAAAACTTAATGAGAAACCAGTCACTTGAAAACAAAAAAGGGATTTCAGGTAGAGAGAAAGACAAGTGCAAAAGCCATGGGGCAGAGATAAGCTTGACTCCTATGAAACAGCCCGTCAAATACCTAATGAAATGGTGAAGGGAAAAATATTCAGACTGTTTGGAAGAGTATACAGAGGCAAAAATAACATTGTCTCTTATACACAATTTAAGGAATTAATCTCCAAAATGCTATTGTGGAATTTAAAGACTTACTTTTTAGAAGGAGCATTATAGCTGATTTGAAGAGAATGGGCTCTGGAGCAGGAGAGGAAGCAGGGAGACAATTTAGGAGACTCTAATAGGATTGGGGATGGAGACAGTGGTCATATGGACTAGACAGATAGCAGAGGAGAAGGTGAGAGACATGATAAGATTTAGATTATATTTCACAATAAAGACTAAGACTTTCTCTTGGATTGGAGGCAAGAAGTGAGAAGAAGAAAGGAATCTATGGTGCTTTGTGTGGGGAAGTCCTGATTCTGCTCACACCACCCAGTATCCTAGTGTTTAAGCTGTTGTAGGTATGATTAAAAAGTTATGAGCAGGACACTTATGTGTGAGCTCTGAAGGGCACACTGTTGATTCATGTGAAAGTGGACAATAGTAATAACAGCAGCACACATTGTAGCTGCTAATCATTGAGTGCTGACTATATAGTAGACACTGCTTTTTCCTTCACAAAAAATATTTTACTTAGACTTTACAATAACCCTCCCTATTTTATAGTTGATGAAAAAGGCTCAAAATGCAGAATGATCTTCCCAAGTTCATTTTGCTAGTCAGTGGATTCTTACACTGGTGCTGTGATATAAAGTAGAATTATAACTAGTTCCATTTTAAAGATTAGAAAGGTGAAGCTTAGAGGTTAAATGAATTTGCAAGATCACATATTTAGTAAGTGACAAACCTGGAAGTGAAAAGAGTCTTCCATGATGTCTATAAGCAGTAATCAATTGACTTAGTTGGACCTCAGTTTCTTGATGAGTAAATCAGAGGTGTGTGATATGTACAAGAGAATTTGCCTGTGATTATAAGTGCTTCTCTGACTTTGTGTGTTAAACCACTGTTGCTGTGCTGGCTGGGAATTTCCTACCATGATGACTCATCACTTTACCCTTCACCTTCCTTCACATTGAGCTCAGAAAATTTTTGCTGACTACTTCTAGTAATTTTTTAGAAACAAAGCCAGTAAAGAAACAAATGTTTGTGAAATGGCATTCTTTTATACTTTTACAGTGTCAAAGAGTAATATCTACATCTTAGAATTTCATAAAATAATTTATTCATGCAAAATAAATGGAATGAAACTAAGATTTAAAAAAGTTGAAGGCACAAAAATGACTAATTATACATAGTTTATTGACTAATTTTATTTTGGCTTTTTTCAGTGTATTGATTTGGTATCGTGTGTGTGTGTGTGTGTGTGTGTGTGTGTGTGTGTGAGTGAGTGTATACCAAACAAAGATATGTATCTTAATTAAATAAATGTATTTAAGAAATTTGGAAATAACTCTGAGTTAATAGAATAATTGAAGATTTTAGACACAAGTGAAATTAATATTGTCATTTAGGATGATTGGATTGCCCTAAAGATCTAATGCTGAGTAGGTAGAATGGAAGAGCTATAGAAGAGAGTAACAGATTAGGAACTTATAAAAATAATCTTAGTGAGGTGTAATTGGGGCTTGAGTTACAATCAGGACTCCTATTGTAGGGAAATATATGGAAATTAGAAACATAGGATGCAATAGATTACACTAACAAACACATACACGTCACTGTATTGCAAGAAGTCACTGAAATATTCTGCTCAATTTTAAAGAGCTAGTTTAAATCTAACTATCTAGAAGATCTGGAAAATACTTGATATTTAATAAAGTTATGTTGAACATGTCTTCTGAAACAGCAGTAATGACACTTAATTTAGTCTAATTTAATTGAAAGACATTGAGTTATCTGGAGAATTAGCTGAAATTTTCATTTAATTTGTATGTTTATACACCCCCAAAGTACATTATAAATGTCATTTTTGGAGGGAGGATATATGTGAGTTTATCTCTGAGGGAGAGGTGGGGAGGTAGAAGAGGAAAGGAGATGAGAGTTTTCATCTGAGTACAGTGGCAATGTCTTGTAGATTATAGCACATTTTCTCTTGCAATGCGCCTGACCAAGTGATTACTACCTTTAACCATGTTGGTGAAACTTTCATTTCATCCACATTCAGATAGAATTAATAACTGTTCTATATGTGGTAGAGGAATGAAGAGAAATAAAACATTTTTTGGAGCCTTGTGAAGCATGGGTGGGAACTCCAGTCACAGTTGCTTGAATTGTTCCTGTTGAGGTGACATGTTTTGAGTGGAAAAAGCTCAGTATGTTCCAAGAGGAAGATATAAAATTTTTACTCACAGGCTGGGCTGACCAGTGTCTCAGCCACTCCAAGTAAAATGTACTGAAGTACCAGGTGTGAACAGGGCATGGAGGAAACAGTGAGAACTTTGCCTGAAAGCAGCTGCTCCACTGGAGGAAAATGTTTCCTGTGTATTTCAAAGAAGCCAGCTACCATCACAGACAAGGCAGCAGAAAGATTTCCAGCAACTGAAGAAAAAGAATTCAAAAAGAAAAAAAAAAACAATTAAAAAAGAGCTAGGAGTCAGTGTAATAGGCCATAACATTTCTTTCTTTCTTTCTTTTTTTGTTTTAATCTTTTTCATTGTCGTCCTTTGGTGTAACATCATTGCTAGTGTTTTAGAAGTAGAGGATGTTCCCCTTCAGCTGTACCACACTACACCACCACTGAAGCACCCCTAGTCCTCTACCTTCATCTATCGTACTCTCTCCACACTCTGTTCTCACCACTGCATCCCTACCAGAAGCCTCAGCTATATGGTCCACTTTCAAAGGTTGATTTTAAAGTTTGTCTTTGACCCTTTGTTTGGTTTCTCTCTATTCCACATATAAGGGACACCGTGTGGTGTTTATCTTTCTCCTTTTGGCTTACCTTACTTAGTATAATCCCTTCCAGCTCCATCCAAGTTGCTGCAAATGGCATGCATTTGTCTTTTTTGATTGCCGAATAGTATTCCATTGTGTGTATATATACTACATCTTCTTGATAAAATCATTTGTTTTGGGGCACTTAGGTTGTTTCCACAGCTTGGTTATTATAAATAGCACTATAGTAATCATAATAGTGCAGGTTTCCTTTCAGATTAGTGTTTTTGTATTCCACGGGTAGATACCTAGGAGAGGAATTGCTGAGCTGTACAGCAGATCCATTTTAGTCTCTTGAGAAACCTCCATACTGCTTTCCATATGGGCTGGACCAGTCCACACTCCCACCAACAGTGTGAGAGACTGTTCCTTTTTCCCCATGCCTTTGCCGGCACTTACTGTTTCTGGTAGGCCCTAGCATCACACATGGACATTGGTGAATTTTTTTTCAGATTTTTTTTTTTTGGCCGTGGGGCTGTGCAGGAACCAGCTATTTGTGTTGTTTGCCCATCCTATGCTAAGGCTCTGGTTTCCCACAGAGGCTTGCATTGACTCTCTTTCCTGACTTATTGGTAATATCACCTCAAGTAAGTTACTTAACTTCATTATCATGCTCCTTGGTTTTAAGATAGGGTTCATAATGTTTATTGTGTAGGGTGACCTTAAGATTTAAATAAGATAGGAACTGGTATTGCTCTGAGGGTTCCCAGTAGCAACTATTACTAAAGATAAAGCAATCATTTTGAATTTTTATTCTCAGATACTAGACACACATGCACACACACACAGAGGTCAAAATGATTTGGGGGGGATTTAATGTAAAATCTCTTCATAGGATTTTAATCATTTATTTACAAAGTGGTTTTGAAATAAGCTATACACATTGTTATTCTTCAGACTTCTGATGTTAATCTTTGCAGAAAAAGTAAAGCAGCTGATAGAGAATTAAGACTAAATTTTTATGTAGGAAAAATAGTAAGGGTGAATTAGTGAGGTAAAAGAAATCAATTATTCTGTTAATTGTTCAGTTCAAATCTTCCTTTTACTTTTAAGGAATTATCTAGAAAATTTTGGTTAAGAATGAGCCGGGATTTTGTTGCAGTTAATGTCTGCTGTGCCCATTCCATTTCTCAAGTTGCCATTCACATTGCTGGATTTAATCCCATTGTTAGAGCAGTAGCAAGCTTTAGTTTGATAGAAGTTACTTGAAATTTAGAGATAGTCACATTTTGCTAAGTTGCATAAAATTTGAGATAAGGCAAAGCTTTCAATTCAGAAAAATCAATCTAATGTTTAAATAGCTTCATGTTTGTTTAGGTTGATAGAGAAACTGGTAGGTAATATTTTTGATTGTATCTTAGCATTTAAATATATCCATAAAGTCTATTCTTTATTGAGTTCCCAAGAAATGGAAGGTATAAAAAATGGAGGAAATCTAAGTAACAGTTAAAAAATTTGAGGAAATTTCTTTTTATTGTTATTTTTAAATTAAGTTCTTATTTTTTTATTGAATATGATTGCATTATAACATTAGGAAAGTTTCAGGTGTGCATCACTGACAATGTGTTTGTACATACTACATTAAGTTCACCACTAAAATCCAATTCTACCCTTCACCAAAATTAAATTCTCTAAAGTCTCCTTCATAGTGAAGTAGAGATTTTGGTTCTGTAAACAATTCCTATAAAAATAAGAATTTCATAATTATCTACCTTTAAGATCAAATTCATCACATTATTGTATTGATCTGGATCACTGGACAGGTTACAGACTCATCAGTAAAAGAACTCATATGTCAGTTTTGCTCAGTCCTTATTGTGCTCCTACTGCATGCACCGCAGTATACTACCTGCTGTTGAGGATGGTAGATGAAAAGAGCAATTGTCAGTCACCAGGGCACACACTCTGTTGGGAACGAAGGACTTACTTCTAGTTGGAGAGGTGAGTAAGATCATCTTGTGCTTTAAAAGAAAGGAGGGCCTGAGCATGAGAAAATGAGGGCCAGCCCCGGCTGCGGAGGCACAGGGTGTGAGGCATCTGATGAATTTTCAGAATGGCAAGAAACTCAAGTTATTGGAGAATCAGAAGGAAAAATAGATCAGGGACAGATCATAAGAGGCCTTTAATATATTATTTTTGAGAGATTTTGAAGTTATTCTGAAGATAATGCAATCACTGGAGTTATTAGCACATTCATTCTAACTAGGAATCTAGGGTAATCTAGATAAAGAAATACAAGTCCCCCAACTTTGTTTTGCTATATAAAAAGTCTTACATTTGGACTTCCCTGGTGGCGCAAGGGGTTAAGCACTGCACTATGAAGCAATCAGCAACCTCTGCAGCAGCACGAGTTCAATCCCTGGACGGCCGGAGAGAAACCCACATGGTGAAGCAGGCCTCTCTTGTCTCACCCACTGCTCCCCTCAGCAGTGTATTTCAGTCAGTCTGCCTGTTCTGCTCCCCACTCTGTCTCTGGTGAATCCTCTCACCACCCCCACCCCCACATCTCTGGCCTGTACCCCAGCTCTTGTATGCATAAATAAATAAATCTTTAAAAAATTAAAAAAATTAAAAGGTTTACATTTTATCCAGAAAATTTATGTGTTAAGGAATAATAGTTCAGCTAAGGGATCAGCAAAATTTTTTTTTTCTATAGAAGGTCTGTAATCAATATTTTAGTTATTATGGGGAAAAGATAACATCTTGAATATCTGTAGGTATTTATATAACTAGAGACAGAATACATTTCTACAATTTTCTTTTACTAATGAAATTCAAAGCAATGATTCTTTTGGGAGGTTACCACAGTCTAACTTAATTGATGTTCAGTTACTGTTTTTTTTTTTTTTTAAATCAAATCAGTTGCAAATGTTCATCTCTGAAACAATTCTTAGCCCATAAGTAATATAAAAATAGATGTGGGTCAGGTTTGGCCATGGGTGGAGTGGCTGGCCAGCCCCTGGTGTAGTCATCAGCTTTTTTTGCCTGTTTCTGAATTTCAGTTCTGACATGATGAGAACTTGTGGTATTTTAACCTGGGCCACCTTAGGTAAACATAGGCATGGCACAGGAGAGAGTCTCTCCCTCTGCCTGTGATACTCAAAGAGTAGTACCTGACCAGTTGCATAGCTATCACCCACGGGTTTGTTAAACATGCAGAATCTCAGACTCCATCCACCCTATAGTCATTGAAATCAGTTTGGTAGTTAAATAAAATCCCTAGAAGATTCCTATACACATTAAACTTTGAGAAACATCACTCTAGCATAGAGCATTCTGGAAATTGATCCAGCAAAATCCGGCAAAAGACAGTTCTCCAGACAATTTCAAGGAAAGCACACAATTTTAACTCATTTTACCCAGACATTTTAGGGCAAAGCATATTTTACCTGAAGGATCTAGATAACTGCACTTGCTTTTTATTTGCTACTGTATTTTGGTGCTAGTGAAAAATGACTTTTTTAAAAAACAGAACAAAGTTTGATTCCAGCCTAAATTTAATCTACCCCATTCCCCCCTTAACTTCTATGAGCTCATAACACATCCAGAGCAGTTTATCAGAATGCACACATTTTAAACCTCTCCAGATCTGTGTTTATAAGATAAAGTACAATGGTTCCAAGGGAGATATTATATTCAGATAAATAATGTATGTTTTAATATTGGCTGTGTGGTTGCAGACAAGTCCATAAGAATCTTGAAACTCCTATAGTTTATGCTATTATCCTACCATGTAACCATTTTTCAAATTAGACCACAATGAAATAAAGTTACAGTTTCTTCAACCATTAAGGTTGCACATGCCATTGCATATAAAAGGGAATATCTAATACAAAAAAAATAATGCTAAAATTCTTCCGTTATTGGCTACATTTACCCACTGAGGAAACTATGGTCTTGTGTGTGTGTGTGTGTGTGTGTGCAATGGGGGGAAATTGGCCTTGGATCCATGATTTTGGCAAATTCCCAGATCAAGAAATTTGCTCATGTGAGAACACACTAGTGTCCATAAACCACTTTTATGGAGTCAACTATAATTTTATTGTCACATGTATCTGCTGCCTTTGTGAAAGACACTTTTGACCCACTGTTAGAATGGCTTATGTTTTTGATTTTCATTGTTTCTTCTATTAGTGGTGTATACTTATATTTGAAGCATATATGGAGAGAGATGAAGATATCTATTTTCTTTTATTTCTCTTTAAACTACTAGAACTCATTTCAGGAGGTTCAGCTTCAGTTTGTACTTTAATTTCTGACTATGAAATAGGTAACTCATTTCTATGGAGATAAGATAAAACAATCACATCTATAAGACATCAATTAAGTGACTTATTCAGACTAGTTGTTTACAGACTACTTTTTTTGGTGTTTCATTGTTCTTTCCTCTTAGGTATTTTGCAATAGGTATTCACTGTGATGTTTCTCTTTGGAAAAATATATCAGTTCTACAACATTGACAAAGTACTTTTTCCGAAATAATCTTACATCTTATGAAGGGGATTGATTCTTGTCCTTTTAATTTAAAGACCTGTTCATTCCAATCAAAAAATGAATGTTATGTCATTGCTAATTGTTTGAAGTAGAAGAAATTATTGATTATGTAAAAAGGGACCAATACTTGGCTGTATCTACATCATAACAGAATTTTACTTAAAATTTGAATTTTCAAATTTTATATATCAAAGAGAGAGATTTGGCAGGTATTTGGATATACTTTATCCATATTTCAATGTAAATGTTATTTAAAAGCCAAGATAATTTCTACCTACTGTGTTGTACATTTCTGCTTTGTGCAAGGCTTATTAACAATCATAATTAGACTAATTTTAGTCAGATTAATACTTGTGTGTGTCAGCACTAATGACTAAATGCCACATTCTGTAGGATTTTAATTAATGCTAAGGAAAGGAAATACTTATGGTGTAAACAATTTGGAACAGAAAGGCTAAAAGGAAGAATGTTCAGTTATGACACAGGATAAATCACAATATCATTGATTCTGGATTTTGGGGGAATTAAAGTTGACACTTAAATAGGTAAATCTGCTCATGTATCGTCTTGGAAAATGCAGTCTTCATACCCGATTGGGACCCTCACAAGATTTTGTCTTTTATAGTTCTAGAAAGTTTGGAGATTTAAATTTTTTTTATCTATTTATGCATAAAGAGCTGGGGCATAGGCCAGAGGTGTATGTGCGGGGATGAGAGGATTCACCAGGGATGGAGTGGGGAGCAGAACAGGCAGATCTACTGAAGTACACTGCTAAGGGGAGCAGCAGTGAGACAGAAAAGGTCTGCTGTGCCATGTGGGTTAGTTCCCTGGCTGGGGATTGAACTCATGCTGTAGTGGCTGCCAATGGTTTCATAGTGCTAAGACTTAACCCCTTTTGCCAGCAGCAAGGCCCCAAGTTTGGAGATAATGGGAACTGTAATATACTTTTTTATAGTGGGAACTGTAATATACTTCCTGATTTCTTTAGGTGATAACCTCAGGAGTGACATGAGGTGAATCAGCAATCCCTCTTTTGTGTTACTTTGTTTTACAAGCTAGATAAGAAAATTTCCTAAATTGCTAGTTTGACCAATCGAATGAGTTTTCCCTACCCCTCACACTTGGCCTAGGCTGTCATTACCCAGGTCACATACCAGGCAGAAGTCATGGTGCTGCATGCACCTCCTCAAATGTGACTGCCTCTAGAAGGGGGATGGCTGGGTACACGAGTCAGGCAGTAGAAATGTCCCTGCCAATCACGGTGACAAAAGGTGATTTTCATTCACATCATAGATTTGATTGAAATAACAGTTAGGGTGACAATTTAACACTGGTAATTTAACAGTTGTACTCTTAACAGCCATGTGTAGCTGGAGCAGACTAGCAACAACAATAGTAATAATAATGCATTTGACTTCGGATTAGAAGACCTGAATTCAAATGACACTTGTCATCTTTGTGATTCTTGATGTGTTAAAGGTTGGTTTATCATGAGATTACTTGGGTTCAGATTAGGAACTCATAAATATTTGTTTGTTAATAATTTATTTATATATTTCACTCACATTGCAAGGCACTTGGGTTAAAAGTAAAAGGAAATTTTACTATTAGACTAATTCAGTTGTGTAAATTACTATCACAAAATCCCCTAGGCTTGTGCATCTATGTCCTGATAAAACTTGTTTATCTTCTATAATCACAAACAGAATATGGAAAACTTAAGCAAACGTGTAGTTTAAAAGATGCATATCATTTTTTTATTCCCATAGCAAAATATTATGCAAATAAATAAACAAGTATGTAAATGAATAAATGAATGGAACAACTAAATTCAGTATTCTGTACTCAGAGGAATATAATTCAGCTTTTTTTTTAATGAGTCTAGTTTTTCCTTTTTCCTGCCCAGCAAGCCTTGTTACCAATCTTGAAGGGGAATATTTAGTTCATTAACATCAAACAACATATTGGATGAATCCAACTCTCCTCTATCCAGAACATTTCCTTCTTTAAGAATAGACATGAGTTTAAATATGCAAGAGTGAAGAATTGTCCAAGAGAAAGTTGTTCATATTTAAAGTGGATTTAAGATTTCTTATTCCAAGGAAAGATTCCTAAAGTAGTTCTTTCAGCCATATTGTATAGCATATTTTCTTGAAATTGCCCAATTTTGAAAAAAAAAATACCTTAATTTTGCAATGTAAAGTTACCGCCATTTTGTCCTGTATTCATTCTGTTTTAATAATATGTTTGCTAAGAACATGTACAATATATTCCTTTTCTTTTGTGTGCAAATAGTGCTGGGCATTCATTAAATACTAATTTCGGAATTTCTACATTGGCAGAAAAAAGGCACATTTTAGGAATTAAGGGTTATCAAATCCTATTAAGATTTATAGTTTCCTAAACCTATTATAATAAGTAATACCAGAGTTATTGGCTTAAGGAATAAATCAAAAATGTTACATGATAAAGGCCTTTATAATTGAATATAACAAAATAAACTAAGGTGAGTTTATTCAGTCTGAGTCCTTTCCAAAAATAAATCTACCCTGTGATGTGAACTGGGGGGATCTTGTTGACAGCTTTGGTAAATACAAGCACACTCTCAAAAATGTAATTTCTATAAGCAAAAAAACAGCCAAAAATATAACAATGGGTTGCTAGAAAACGGAATGGTCTTTACAGGTCTTTGAAAAAGAAGAGTTAAGAAGAATAGGTTAGGGCCTCCCTGGTGGCACAAGGAGTTAAGACACAACCTATGGAGCTGTCCATAGCCTCTGCAGCATGAGTTTGATCCCCAGCCAGCCAGGGAGCTACCCACATGGCACAGCAGACCTCTCCTGACTCGCCTGCTGCTCCCTTCAGCAGTGTACTTCAGTCAATCTGCCTGTTCTGTTCCCCACTCTGTCTCTGCTGAATCCTCTCACCCCCCACACCTCTGGCCTGTACCCCAGCTCTTGTATGCATACATAAATTTTAAAAACATCTTTACAAAAATTTGAAGAGGTTAGCCAAGAGATGAAAATCTTATAGATGCCTGACCCTGACTATAACAATAGAGATATTTTTTAAGGAAAGGATAAGATATTGGGTTACCATTACATGATATTGCTTAAGAGTTTTGCTTTCTATTTATGTCCACAAAGCAGTTAGCACCATGCCCTGCAAATGATGACTCATAACTCTAGCTCCCATTTATAGAGCTTTCACTATGTGTCAGGACACTGCTCCAGGCACTGATGTCATCCTGAGTGATTGCAAAAGTTTGACAGAACAAAAGGACCCAACATTTATACAGGGTATGTCCCTCCATGAAAAAAGTAAGTGAACTAGAAAACAAGAAAGCTTAGGTCATTTTTCAAAGTTACCCAGCAGCAGACCAGCAGCAGAACAGGGGCTGAGCCCCAGACCTCTGCTTGTTAGATTGGCCTGGTTTAACCGGCCAGCACTTATCTGCTCATCTCAGGGCGGAACCTGAGGAGACCGCTGGGCAGAGGACAGTGTTATTGGAATGGATGTCAGCTCCCTTCTCCCTCTTCAGCTAGAGAAATTTTATTTTATGGGCTATTGATTGTGCTATGAGAAAGACATCCTAATTTTTTTCACTTTCAAAAAATAATGTGCTCAACCACAGACACAACTGATTATATTATGTGAGGTAAATGATGTGTTAGCCAACCATATTGTGGTTAACATTTTGCAATGTGTACATGTATCAAATCATTACACTGTATAACTTACAGGGACATAATGTTATATGGCAAATATATCTCAGCAAAACTGGAAAAAAATGTTTGAAAATTATTGCTATCCACCTTACTCTCTGAAGAAGTACTATACCGAAGCTATGAATCACTGTACTAATTGTTAACAAATTTTGCTGCTGGTTCAAAAATTAATGCCTTCCAAGGATATAAGGTCTTTATTGTTTTAGGTGCATTATCAGTACTAGAGTTTAAGAGCAGAGTCAGCATTGACTTGGGTGTAAAGGCTGCCTTACTTAAAGAAAGACTGGCCATTTGGTGGTGTTGAAATTTGTACCATGCCTTTATATCAGGTGTGTCTGCTGAGGAGACATAAAAGGACAAGAAAAGAATGGGACACGGATGTCTGGGTAGAGATTTGGGGAAGCTGTAGGGGATGTTAAATTCTCTCAAATTCACCTTCTTCCTAAATTTGTCAGAACTGGACTATTCCACAGCACACAGCTTAGATCTTAGCAGAATTTTTTTTTTAATTTTTAAAGCTTGCAAACATTCCTTCAATTGAGATTGTAATCTGTACTTACTAATGCATACCGACAGAAATGGTCCATCTCTCATAGAGGAAAATAGGCAGGTGCTGAAAACCTCCATGAAAGGAGTCAGAATTAGTAGTGGTAGGATGCTGGTGACATTCATTACTGCAATTGGCAGGCGTAATCCATCCAAATTCAGGTTGGAATTCATGGTCTGAAGATAATATCCCGAAGGAATCTATTTGAGGGGGGAAGCAGCTGTGCATTAATATAGTGGCTTAAATTTGGTAAAGCATCCTACAACAGCCACCTTGCCCCTTGCACTTACCCCATGGCAAATGAGTGGGCTGTTCCCCAAAGTTGTCAAGGTCTCAATTACAAGTGGACCAGGGACCACAGAAGCTCTGTGGCCACGGGAGTGCTGTTTACGTTACCAGAAATGCTACTGATTCTTTGTGGAGCAATCTTTGTTTTAGCTAGTCTTCCTTCTTAATTTCTGATAGAAAGCAGAAGTCACACCAATTTGTGATGACACATTAAATCATCAAATAACTTAAGTTCTGAACATAAGCAAATAAGGTTCTTTTTATGACCAATAAAACCCTGGAGAAAGTATCAAGGACTTTTGTTTTCACTCTCATGAAAAGAGTTTTGGGCTAGAAAGATCCTGAAAATAGCATCTGGTTTGGTGGCAAAATAGTTAGAAAAGACTTTTCTTTCCTGAGAGAAAGAGAAAGTGCTGAAATGTTACTTGTTGAAGGCTGTCTTTGCGGGTTCCTGGCTTGTTCCTCAAGTAGCGTGAGGAACAAAAAGCCAAGTAACATGGGGGAAACAAAGGTGAAAAGACATACTTATGTGTATAAGACTCCTTTTAAACGGATGTATGGCTACAGGAACATTAATTCAAAAGGGCACCTGCACCCCTGTGTTTATAGCTGCACTATTTACAATAGTTAAACTATGGAAACAACCCAAATGCCCAAAAAGAGATGACTGGATCAAGAAGATGTGGTACATATACACCATGGAATATTACTCAGCAATCAAAAAAAGATAAACTCATGCAATTTGCAGCAACATGGATGGAACTAGAATCATGCTCAGGATGGATCACGCTCAGCGAAATAAGTCAGAAAGAAAAAGAAAAATACCGGATGGTCTCACTCATAGCAGGAATTTAGAAAACCTAAATAAGGGACCAGGAAAAAGACTAATTATAATAAAGTAAAAATCAAAATCAACAGGCAACTATAAACCAGAGACACACTATGGGGCAGGGGACAGGGAGGAGGGGAGAAGGGAGTAGGATCAAAACAAGGGGGGATGGGAATTGTATGGGACTATAACCAAGATGAAAAATGCATACAGTGTACAAAAATGAAAAATGATGTAAAATATATAAAAAAAATTTTAAAAAGAATTAAAAAAACAAAACCAACAAGCAACTATAAACCAGAGACACACTACAGGGCGGGGGGGTGGGGTTTAGGGGAGGAGGGATCGGGGTCAAGATAAGGGGGGTGGGAATTGTATGGGGACTATAACCAAGATGAAAATGCATACATTGTGCAAAAATGAAAAACAATGTAAAAATATATAAATAAAAAAAGTGAGCCGATTACAGCTAGTAAAAAAATAAGTAAATAAATGGCTGTGTGGCACTAGAGGACTACAAAGGGAACTATATGGAAGTGTTTGCATAATAAAGTAAAGAAAACATACAAAAAGTAAGTCCTTGTTCCACCCCTAACTCTCAATAGAGTATTAGAATTTCTTCATATTTTTAAATAACCCCAACATTTACTAAAATCCTGAACCTTGACTTGTAGCATCCTTGTGTATTCCAAGCCTTGTGTCAAGCGATAACATCAGAACTGACGCTTCTCCCTCTCCTAGTTAAGGAGCTTTGCTGTGATTACCACATCCTCAACCCTCTCCTGAGTAGCACTTGATGTCTGTTGCATTCCTGAGGCACACAGTGCCACAGAGTAGTCTGAAGAGAAAGTCAATCTGAGTCTTGTCCTTGAGGAAGGATTCTCCAAGCTCTTTTTTGTACAATGCATGCACTACATTAGGATTCCCGCCTGGCCACCATACTGGGAGAGCAGCAGTGCTCAAACAACCAGATGATAACTTCTTGTTTGAAACCTTCACTAACTCCTAATCTATTATCAATTGTACAATTTGAGAGAATATAAGGGTAATCAGTCAAAAGTCCATACAGCTGTTAACAAGCCCACCAATTGGAAAATGAAATTGCTGGGTTAACTGCCTAAATCCAGGAATGGACCATATTTTCATGGGCATGATTTCTAGCTCTCTAAAATATGTCTTGGTGACTATTTGTCTTCTAACCTTTCATTTGACCCTTAGGATTGTAAGCAAGGACTGCTTGGGTGGGGGTCTGATGGTGAGTGAAGAGAACACTAGTTCTGTCCTGGTTCAATGAAATTATTAAGTTCGTATCCCCCAATCAGAGGAAAATGAATGATTTTTTTTTTTAAAGTGCTGGCAGCAGAAGCACTTTAAGACTGAATGGCTCCCAGCCCAACTTGGAAGTTTCTGTTACTGATTTCAAGTGAGAATTATTGTTAATAGGAATAAAGTTATTATCGGCATGAATCACAGACACAGAAACCTGTTAACTTAATAATGTGGCAAATGTACTATTAATCTTTAGTGAAGCAATATTAATATATTGCCTAATCTAAGAAAAGGCTGCAGTGTCTTGAAAGCTTGAAATCATTTCTGCTTCTGCCTCAAGTTCTGAAATGATCCCCTTTTAAAATTTTAAATACTTTTATTTCATACAAGCCTCTGAGTATTCAGAAGTAATTGCTGTCAATAGAGATTCATTTTCACCTTTCAATAGCCAGTCATGTCAAATGGCAACATCATCGGCCTTAACATCAACATATTTTAAATGTGTCTTGGAAATGAAGGTCAATAATGGCTACTAGATTTAAAATATGAAATCCTGGGATGTTTTATTCTTGGTACTTTGATTGCCTTAGTACTGGTAATTATTTCATGGAGGCAAAAACCTAATTCCAGCCTGCCCCAATAGGAATTTCCTCTGCTTCCCTTGAGAAGTATGTTTTGACCATATGTATTTTTAGAGTTTTTGATATAACATTATCCTCTATAAATTTTTAGAAACTCAAAAGTCTGTATCAGAGATTTTTTTAACCCAGATGCAAGAGAGGTACTGTGGGTAATAATAGCAAGGTGTGGATGTTGATACCAGCCCTGAGTTGGGGTGGCCTTGCTGCCATCTGCCAGTAGGGTGACTGCGAGCAAGTTATAAGTTACTTAATGTCTCTGAATCTCAAATTCAGGATAGCAGCATCATCTATGTAGGCTTGCTTGTGAGGGTTAAATTAGATACTATAAAGTAATCTTTAAGAAACTATGGCACATGCAGATGAACAATAAGTATGTTATTCTTTGGAATAAAATGGACATGTAGATTTAGTGAGATGCTTACTTTTTAGTTTATCCAAATGGATGATAATTCATGTCAGATTAAAAATGTGAATTTTGGCGCGCAGACCTCTCCTGCCGCCCGCTGCTCCCCTCAGCAGTGTGCTTCAGTCCTTCTGCCTGCTCTGCTCCCTGCTCTGACTCTGGTGAATTCTCTCACCCTCCCACCCTTCTGACTGTACCCAGTGCTTGCATAAATAAATAAATAAATAAACAAATAAATAAGTAAATAAATCTTTTAAAAAATGTGATTTTTTTTAGAGAAGACTCAAACTTAGTCAAAGGCAGTATTAGGAGTCACTGATGAAGAAAAAGAATCACTCATTTGTGCTATTGGCACAGAGATTTGAGGCCAGCTATAGACCACTAAGTCATTTTGTACTCATTATTAGTTTCTACATTCTAAGATACTTTAAGATATACATAATCATATAAATGGGGAATATTTATGTATTTTTTGTACCAGCTACTATTGTAGAATGAAGAGAGAGGTGGAAACTGCTAAATTGGTTCTTTCATGCAATATTTGGAGCAAGGGTCAGCAGACATTTCTGTAAGGACTAGATAGTAAATATTTCTTCAAATAGATGGATTCTGTTGCAGCCTTGTGACTCTGCTGTTTTCATGCATAAGCAGATGTAGTATCACAGTGAAAATGGCTGCTGCTTCAAATAAACTTTTTTTGTGGACACTGAATTTTGAATTTCATGTAATTCTCATGTGCCACAAAATATTTTTCTTATAGTTTTCTTCAATGATATTAAAAGGTATAAACCTTCTTAGCATATATGTTAAAAGGGGCAGGGGGCTGAATTTGTTCAGTAAAACTGGTTTAATTCCTGATGTAGAGGTATATTTTGTTTTTCTTTTCACTGCTAACTGTGTGAATTACCTACCTACTCCATAATCACTTATTTTTTCTGAGCCTTAGTTTCCTCTTACAAAATGACATAGTTGAGTAAGGTAATCTCTAAGTTTCTTTTTAGCTCTCTTGTTCTATAATTTGTGCTGTAACTCACACATTAGCCTTCCAACTTCTAAGTTGGGGTTTAAAAAAAAAAAAGATAGTCTTAATTTCTTCAAAGAATTTGATAACCATTTATACCTATTTACAAGTAAGTTAGTTTTTTACCATTATCACATTAAATTTTTTAAAAAATCACCTATATTTATAAAAAGTACTTGGAACTTAGTGTTTTTCTTCTGATTTCTATACAACATCAGGGCTGATTCACCAAGGAACTAAGAGTGGGTGGAGAGAATCACTTTCTCGTTAGTATTTATACTTAAGAGTACAGTGGAGGTGGTACTCAAATGAGTCAGTTTAGCTACTTGCTAGGACCACTTTTTAAAGTTTTGCTGGGGGAAAGCACAACCTTTGGCTATCAGGAAGTTTGGTAATTGCACATGTTGCTCTTATTATTTATGATGATGCTCTCTGGGGTACTGCCTGTACCTACTGACAAACATTCAGAGTTCTACAGGGGAAACTAACAACCCATGTTCTCCTTTGGTATGCCTCTGCCTGACCCCACTTAGCTCTTGAAAGTAGAGCCTGTAGGATAACTGCCTTACAAAGTGTATGGAAATTGCCTGTTGGAGTGAAAAGAAATGTTTACTTGTGATGTTAATACAGATCATCTTATCGTTGTCAGGGAAGTATACATTACCCTTCCTTACCTGCAGAATACACATTCTGTAAAGGAGCTGAGAAATGAAGAGGGGGAAAAGGGTGACAAAAAATTTTGTGTCTTCCACATGGAGCTCACTGTAGCTGCCTCCATTTTTTGCTTTGGCGTGGTCCAGCCAGCTTGTCGCATCTCCGCCCAGAGGGCAATATCGCAGGCAGCTAGTTTTCAGTGCATTAACAAACACCCCAAAGGTTGTCAGGAAGGAGTAGCCTGAACATAATGGAAGATATTATGTATTAGTAAAGGAGGTGTTCTTCAACATTTTCCAGGCTGCCAATCAAGAAGATGGCAGATGCGAGGATGAAGGGCAGTCAAGTGCCTGAGAAGGTTTCAGAACCCAAGGGCTTGAATTCAAAGGAGCAAGCTTCTGACAAAGGTTCTGGCATCCTGGTGACCAGCCCAAGGTGGTGCCTGACAGCTGATGTGAAAAATGTAAAAGGTAAGATCAATGGCAACATATTAAAAAGGGAAGAAAGGTGATAAAATAAAACACCAAAGTAAAAGATTTCAGAATCTCTCAGAAGTCAGTAACTTTAACTCATTAATGAAGTAACCTGAACTTTCTTTTACAGCTTAACACCAAGAACTGGTACTATTTTTTAATATAAATTGTTATATAAATAATCCTCACTTGTCAGGTAGAGGGTGGTTTCTTATTTTGACATGGAGATGAAGGGAAATTTATTCTCTGCTTTGACTTTATCCTTGAGTTTCAGACATAAGGTTAAACTTTGAACTCCTCAAATGACTTTATACATTTTGATAGTGTCACTAAAAGTTCAGATTGGATTAGTTGGCTTTTGACTTTTCAGTAGTTTCCTCTGGCTTTATATGGCTGTCGCTTGAGCATCAGAAGCATTTTATCTCTTCAGATGTGAGCAGTCACATACTCCTAGTGATTTGCAACCTCATTGTTGCTTCTTTTATGATTGTTCAGATTCCACCTTTTCTTTGACTTCATTAAGGCTTTCTGATGCAATGGCAGATAAGAGACCCCCATCTAGTTAGTGGTTCAGCTGTGCCATCATGATTATCACCACTTTTCATAGTGCCTTCTTTGACCATAAAAGTCCTTCCACGAATTTCTTAGACATCTACCATAGTTGCAGGATCAATGGTATAACATATGTGAAAATATTTGAGTTTCTCCAAAGAATGTTGTTATTGTAATTCAAAGTGTAGTTTCATTGCCATTTACATTATGTTCAGATTTCCTGTAATGTAATTCTAGATGAAATACATTCTAACCAAATTCTTTAAATGCCATAGAACACTGTTTTTTTATTTAAATAAGGAATATTTATTAATATTTCTTTTTATAGTTATAGAGTAGTTATATTGATTTGATCTGGTCTTTTCTTTCAGAGTTGTAGGAGACCTATTATGTCAGTCTTTGATTAATTGAGGAAGCTGGGGGCCTGGTAATTGAATATGGAGCCTTTCACCTCTAAGTCACTGAATCAAATCCAGCCCAAATTGGTAATGACCAAGAATGATTACAGCAGTGACTCTTTGGTGGCCTTTGCGAAAAGTGTTTAGGTCAAGTGGAAGTATGTCGGGATAATTGCTGCCAGGAGATGGGCTCATATCTATAGTCACTATTGCCAAACACAGATGAAAGGCCAGGGGCTGGGAAGGCCAAAGGGATACAGCACCTGTGAGTAGCCAAGGCTTGTGTACCCTAGGAAAGAAGTAGTGAGGATATCTCTTTAGTATAGCAGGAAGAATCATTCTATTATGGACTTTCCTATCTATAATTTCAATAGCTTGCTTAAAGTTTAAGATGAGAACTGAGAATGTCTTGATGAACCATCTAGAGACTAAATTTGAGTGAGTCTGGGCTAGACAGAAAGGCTTAACTTCTTGGCTCTGTTGGTCATCAACCTGTTCTCTGTTCAACTCTTCTGAGAACAGTATTGTGTAGCTAATAGGGTTATTACTGCCATTGACCCAACTCTTTGCTTCCAAATAGGCTTTATTATAAAATGATAAATATTCACAAGATGAAAGATTATTTTCAGAGATATTCTTTCCAGTTTTCCCCTTATTTTTAAAATCCATGGACTTCATGTTTTCAACTCTTTATTCCATTGTGTATGTGTGTATGTGTGTGTGTGTGTGTATGACATTCTGCTGAATGGGAGAAAATAGAAGATATTCACACCTCACACAACAACTGGGGTTAATCCAAAGTATGCAAAAATACTCATTCAATTTAACAACAAAATAAGCAACCTGAATAAAACATGGATAGAAGATCTGAGAGACAAAAAGAATATACAGAAAGCCAGCAGATGTATGGGAAAATATTCATCTTCATTTTTTAATATTTTCAATGAGGGAGATAGAGATGGAAGTCTAAACCACAGTGAGATTTCTCACACCTGTGTGAATGGAATATATTAAAAAATGCTGGAGAGGCTGTGGAGTAAGAAGAACCCTACTAAATTGTTGGTGGGAATGTAAACTGGTATAACCAAGTTGTAAAGTAGTCTGGACTACCTTAAAAAACTGAAAATGGAAATTCTGTTGGCAGGAACATGAAGTGGTGCAACCACTAAGGAAAACAGGATAGAGTTTCCTCAAAAATTTTAAAATAGAACTACCATCTGATCCAGCAATCCCACTTTTGGGTATAAAGCCAAAGGATTTCATTTTCCAAGTCCTTTGGACTTATTTTGCTGGGGCTAATAATTAAGCCTATACCTAAAGAAAATGAAATCTCTACCTTAAAAGAAAAAAAAAAAAGTAAGGAGAGAGGTCAGTCTGAATTTGAGTGTTTGTTGTGTAGCTGAGTAGTTGGTTATTGAGTCATTTGACTAGAAAATATTTGAGGAAAGAGAGTGAGAAAAGTAGAGACTTGTGATGAATCCTGGGGCTCTGCATAAGTTAGGAGACTTACTCGGAAGAGATGAGAGGGAGTAGCTCTTGTGCTGGATGGGTAGCAAGTCAGAGGGAAGGGATACAGAGAAGTAACACGCCTAAATGGACCAACTGCACTGAGAGGGAGCCATGAAGCTAGTTAGAGAAGACAAGGAGATGAATAATGGTATTGTAACCTGTCTACCCAAGGGGAGTTGCAGTTTTCTTATGGAACCAGAGTAATCACTGATGGGAGATGCTCTTGAAAGCATCTATATCTAAATAGCACCCCACCTCCTTGGATTGACCCATTAGATTTCATAGAAAACTCATGCCTTTTGTACAAATAATTTTGGGTGTCATGTAGCCTTAGCCTTAAAAAAATCCATTGTCATTATAATTCTCAAATAGCTTTTCTGCACCAGAAGCAGAAATGGGAAGTTGAAAAAAAACTGAAATGAAAATGCAATGGAGACTTCAAGCTCCAGCTTAAATGTGCATGGCAAACACACCAGGCGTGCACACTTTAAAATAAAACAGATGAGCTATTTTAAATGTTTTATTGCAAAGCTTAAAGATTGTAGCTATTACTACTTAAAAAAAAACTTTTAGGAAGCAGTTTTTCTATTCTTTGTTCCTTTAAGTCCTTGGCTCTGATGTTCTGCTCCTCTGACCTTGATCTAATCATGAATATCTATGCTACTTAATTATAATAAAAAAAGCCTACATTGCACTCTAGATGGTAGATGCACATTTTTTCTTCTTTGGTCACCTGCCAGTTCTCAAAATTATAGCAGTGGGAAGAAATGCAAATGAAGACCGTGCTTGACAGCTAAACATAATGGAATGCATGGTCCACATTTGAAAAGTTACCTTAAAATAAAAGGTAGCATATAAAAAATCATTTCTTTAAGGTCACCTATGGCTTTGAATTATAGCTTTGAGGAATTTCCAATTTAGTCATCAGAGAGGAAAGAGCCAAAATAAGGATTATATACTTTGATAGAGAGAAGACAGAATTTTACTTCCTCATAGTTAGGTGATCTTGGAACTTGGAATAGAAAACAAAACATCTCCAAAATATTCACTCTTCACAGTTTGTGCAAAATAAAACATTGATGGACATTTTCTATTATAATTTTACTTGCAGCTAATAAAAATCTTTCTTGTAAATGTCCAAAGAAGGGTACCCTTATCATATGCTAAATTATGTAACATGTGGACTACAACAGGCTGGCAGCAAAACAGTTGATTATGTAACTCTTCATGTCTTGAAGGATAGTATTTCTTTATTCAGATAAATGTATCTTTTTTTAAAACTTTATAATTTATTTTTATACAAGAACTGGGGTACAGGCCAGAGGTGCAGGGGATGAGAGGATTCACCAGAGACAGAGTGGGGAACAGAACAGGCAGACAGGACCAAAGTACACTGCTGAGGGGGACAGTGGGCAAGACAGGAGAGGTCTGCCCCACCATGTGGGTATCTCCCTGGCCGGCCAGGAATCGAACTGGTGCTGCAGAGTCTGCGGACAACTTCAGAGCTCTGCACTCAACCCACTGTGCCACCGGGGAGGCCCCAGATAAATGTATCTTTAAATAAGAGACTAGGAAGTAAATGAATTGCTATTTAGATAATTTGAATGTTATCTGTATGTGTATATCTATACACATGTCTTTTATATGTATGCACATGTCTTATATATGTATATATTTATATTCACAAAACCTTGAAATTATTTGATAATTACACACTCTAGAAAATGCAAAAATGATCTTTCAATAAAAGTTTGTATTTTACATTTTCCTCTTTTTTGCTATTTGGGGTAGTTGGAGACGCTCTCAGATACTTTTTGCTTAATGAACAGATTCCACAGATTTCCACAGATTTCCAGAGGGTGTGTATTACGTAACTGTGATCTACACACCACAAACTCTGAGAAAGAGTGGTAGGACCCTATGTGGATGCTACTTTATGTGCTTACTGCTCAGTAAATGGCATCCTGAATGAGCTCTAAACTCAGAAATATAAGGCCTGGTTTCTGGATCCAGTTTAGCTTTTTCTGTGAGGTTTTGGGCAAGTCGTTTTGTCTCACTTTTTGCACTCAGCTTAATGGTAACAAACACTGATTGAGCATTTACCTTATTCAAAATATTTGCGAGAACAGGAGTTTCTGACTGCATTCACAAATAGATCATTTCAGTATACTATGGTAGAGGAAACGCTAAAGCTATGCTAGGGAACAGAGATAAAACATATGTCTACTAAAGGATGCACAGTGCCCTTCCTAACTTCCTCCCAGGTATGTGGTTAAAATGAGTTACATCAGTGGATCTTAATTTTTAAAATTACAATTCATAATACTGTTATTAGTGGTGGTTGTTTAGATAAGTAGAGACAGTATATTAGAAATTAAGGTCAGGGTTAACAAACAAGATAGAAAGATAATAGACTGACCAAGGGAGCAGAAATAAACTCCAGAAATGCAAGTGGCAAGATACAATGAAGGTGACATCGCAAACTAGTGGGAACAGTATAGACTTTAATAAATGAGGTTGAATAACTTTATAGTCCTATGGAAAAAAGTAAAATTGAGTTCACTCTTAAAACCTACCCTAATAAAATTTCCAAATATGTCAGAGATGTAAAGCTTTAAAAAAAAATGTGAGTTTCAAAAGAAGCACATGTGAATTCCTTTATAATCTGGGAATAAGAAAACTTTCCCTCCAGGATCCAATCTAGTAACAATAAGAGAGATTAATAAGTTTTCTGATAAAAATAACCCTCCCCCCAAAAGAAAAACCTAAAAAATCATATGCATGACAAATAATGCAAGAAACAAAGTTAAAAAATATATGACAGTTGGAGAAAAATATTTACAAATTTTATCATAGACAAAGGGTTAATAACCCAAATATATATAAAGATCTTTCAAACATGGAAAGAAAACGTTCTCAACTCTCTAGAAAAAATAGACTAGATAAATGAACGGGTAGGTTACTGAAAATAATACAGATTGCTCTCTAGCAATGAAAAGATGTTCAAGTTTTCTGATAATAACAGAAAAGTTGATTAAAACTTCAGTGGGGTACTGTTTCCCACACCCAAATTAGCAAACAGCTTAAATGTTTGAAATCATGTCAAATCACGTTTCATTCTGAAACATTTTTGCTAGGAACACAACATGTACCCACTATAGAAGGGAATTTGGCAATGTACAGCAAAATTATCTATATATTTACCTTTGAATTAGCAACTCTGCTTTTAGGAATCTAGGAGTATTCCTAATGCTAAAGATAATCCAGGAGAAAAGAATGCAAAGAGGTATGCACCAACCTATTCTTTAGAACCTATTTGTCAAAGCAAAAGTAAAGAAAATACCCGTATGTCCATCAATATGAAACCAGTGAAATACACAGTTGTTCATCACACAACGGAGTACTATATAGCTATAAAAAAGAAGGGAATTATTTCTAATACAATTATGTAGCAATTCCCCAGTTATATTATGTGAAGAAAGCAGGTGAAATAAATGAGACTAATATATTACTATATATATAAGAAGAGGAGGAAATTCATAAATGCATAAACACATGTATATATGTATAAATTTTTAATATATTCCTTTATTAAAAATGGAAAGATTGGGCCGCCCTGGTGGCACAGGTGGTTGAGCGCAGGCCTGTGAAGCTGTCTGCAGCCTTCGCAGAATGAGTTCAATCCCAGGCAGGCCAGGATGCTACCCACATGGTGTAGCAGACCTCTCTTGCCTCACCTGCTGCTCCCCTCAGCAGTGTATTTCAGTCAGTCTGCCTGTTCTGCTCCCCACTCTGTCTCTGATGAATCCTCTCACCCCCACACACCTCTGGTCTGTACCCCAGTTCTTATGTGCAAAAATAAATAAATCTTTTAAAAAACATAATAATTTTAGTGTTCATCCCCAGAGATTATATAATATAAGATGAAACTGCAAAAAGAATATTGACACTGTTTTCAACAATCCAGTTGCTGAGTTAGTCTCATACAACAGAGTGTGTTTTTTGGGATAAAGCAAATGTGCAAAAAAAAAAAGTCACTGTCATTAAGAGTGCGGAGAAGTAGAAAAATATTGGAGATTTGATAAGGTTAAGTAAAAATCCTATAGGACTGGAATTGACTGGGGTATAGTATGTCCATAATGTATGTCACCTTAGAAAGAAAGAACATTTTCTAGCTTTGTGTACTGAAAAGACCTAGAAAACTGTAATAGACTTAGTAATTAATAAACCATTGCCAGTATTGTAGTCTCTAAGAATTATAGTTCTTTGGAGAAAAGTTCAAGGAAGGAAATTACAGACTCTCTTGTTATACCAGAAAGCAAGGAAGCAGGGACAACAGCATCTTGTCTGATGGACTTAGGAGCCAACATGAAGAGGACCTCACTGCCCAAATGTAGAATAATTTGAGCATTAGTAATTGTAGTGGACTGAAGTTCATCGAAAATTTCCGTGAATTACTAGTAATATTTTTTTTAAGCCAATGAAGTTTTGGAAGAAGTTGAAGTTCAACTCATTAATTTGAAACTCTAAAAATAGAGGAAACAAATTAGACATTTATCTTCTTTTTCTTACATGAGCTGTACCTCTGTGTAATTTAATTCTTGATGAGGAGTTAGTTCTCTCTATAGAATTATTTCAGCTAAAAAAAGAGGAGGAAATATAGAATTTCACCACCTTGCAACCTTCAGTGAAGTAGCGGATTTAAGACAGAAATGATCAGTGGCTGCTGACAAAAACAGAGATAATCAGACATTCTGCCTGTTGATTAACATATTTAAGACCATCTGTGAAGGAATTTTGCCCCCCAAAATCTAAATCTGGTCAAGCATCTAGGTTTATCAGGTAATTTATAGGAAATTCAGAGGAGAAAAACTCAGTGGATGATATCATTGGATTTAATTAGCAAAACAAGATTATAGGAAATGACCTATGAAAATCCAGGTTTCTTAAAAAAAATTGAACACAGAGAGGAAGGGGGCATTTATATGGTATAGAACATATCTTCCATTTTGAATATATGGGTCTTATTTGGGTTTGATTTGAACAAAATGTAAAACAAAACAAAATTAACACATTTATGAAACGGAAGCAATTAGAGAGATTTTAACAGTGAGACGCTTTTTGTGTGTATGTGTGTTTTGCGTGTGTATGTGTATGTGATAATCACAATGTGATTATGTTTTTGAAAAAGTAACTTTCATAGAGACACACATACATTGAAAAGCTATAATGTTTAGTTTTTACTTCAAAATTACCAGCTGGGTTGGGGAAAAGTGAGTGGAAAAATAATGATAATTGCTGAAGCTTAGAGCTGGGTAGGTAGAATTTATATGTATTTTTTTCCTTCTTTTGCAGATGTTTAAAGTATTCCATTATTAAGACTTATTTTTAACAAGGTGAAAATAAAAGAAGATAAGAGATTATTTGTATTCTTGTAGACTACTGATATCAAGTGTAATAGCTGGCAGAATTTACAAATTCTGTGAGTTTGAAAGAAAAGTAACAAGGAATTAAGTATGAAGATAAGTGTAAAGTGAGATTTACTTACATTTTTCTGGTTGATAGATCAGATCATAGTGCATCATATGAAGAATTATCAGAGCCATAAATGTTGAAAGAAATGGAATAAGTAAAACCAGGACCCAGGCCCCTGCGTGTTGGGTATAAGATATTCCCAGAAAAATTACTGCTGCCTTTAGGTTCTTGATCCAATAAAACCTAGGGTATACAGACAGACAAAAATAAAAACATCACCAAGTGACTTCAGATAACCATGGCTAATCTGGGTGCTTTCCTATTAATTTAAGCTATAAAATGGTGGCATGGTAGCTGAATTAGATTTTACAAATATTAAATCTGATTAGATTTTTTTTAAGATTTATTTTTTATTTTATTTATGCATACAAGAACTGGGATATAAGCCAGAGGTCAGGGGGATGGTGAAAGAATTCACCAGAGACAGAGTGGGGTGCAAAACAGTTGGATTGACTGAAACACACTGCTGAGGAGAGCAGCGGGTGAGACAGAAGTCTGCTACGCCATGTGGGTCAGCTCCCAGGTCAGGGATCGAACTCATGCTTTGGTAGCTGGCGACAGCTTCATAGTGCTGAGACTCAACCCTTGTGCCACCAGGGAGGCACTAATTAGATTTCTTAATAGATATACACATCAACTGTATCCATTTCATTGTCTTTGTTTCATTTCTGTTTAGTATAGATAATAGAAAGAATGTGGTCTTTTTATGTAAAGCAGAAGTTGGAAAACTTTTTCTGTAAAAGGCCTATTAATAAATGCTTTAAGCTTTGCAGGTGGCCGCATCTCTATAGCTATTGGCCAGCTCTGCTTTGTGGTGCAATGGAAGCAATGGTGAAGACGTACTGAATACATCTAATCAACCTAAGAAAGATTACACTATTCAAAAGTGAAATCTTTCTATTTATTCAGAGTACAGGAAAACTCAGGAATACCCAGGCTGTATCCAGACCTTGCCTTAAACCCAAGAAATGTTTTCATCTGTAGAAAATCTTCAGTTTCTCTTCCAAACCATTAGTATTACAAATACACATGCCCCAATAATCTGGTTTGCAAGTTCTGGGAAATAATCTCTAACTCTCACCCTTTTATTGAGTCTAAATTAAATACAATGAAATTTACCCACTCAAGTCTATAATTTTATGAGTTTGGGTAAATAGCTAAGTTGTGTAAAAACTAATAGGTCTGAGTTTTTGAACAGTTAACATTGTCACTAAAAATTTAAGAGTTTAATGGATTAGATCAGGCCCTCTCACGCTAAAATTATGACCTGCCCTTTGATTAACTTCTCACTTATAGATTGTCAAGCTTCCTGATGGCAACACCTTATTCCTTATCTCTACTTCTTTGTCTCCATGGGATCAGGCACAGTTCTACATTCCCGATAAATGGATAATAAATAACTAATTGATGAACAACATGGCATCTCATGAAAAATCAATCAGTCAAACAAACAGCAGCATGGAAAATAAAATTCTTAATTATGACCTCGATTATGATCAAATGTCAAACATGGCAATGCTCAGCAAACTTATTTACTGTAATCCACTAATAGCAATTTGTTTATCACAGTGTAGGTAAGATTGAAAGTTAGAATTTTCTAGAACAGTTCAATAGAGTCCCTAGGCTCAGCTTCAGGTCATCCTTTCATGCTGTTGCAAGCTCACATTTGAGGTGTGACTGTAGCAACACAGAGACATTGGAACAGAAAGCAATGTTATAATTCTTTCCATCTTTAGGAAACCAGTTTTTTTTTTTTTTTCAAATGTTAAGTACTGCTGAGAAAATCTTTAGACTGAATTTCTCTAAAAAGGGTCAAGGAAAATTACAATTATTCTAAGACTTAAATCTTGTGAAAAGTATTTGGGTACCAAAGAATTATATGCTGAATATCTATGTATAGGAAGAGATTTCACGTAAAGTGCTAAATGTATTTAAACAAATACCCCCCAATCTATTTGATTGTGTAATTTTCTGAAAGAATTGCCTAGTGGTCCAGGCATGTTTTATATATGTCTTTGTTGATCCATGGACAGGACAAACCATAGATAATTAAGGGTGAAATTGTATATGTATCAACTATAAAAAATAAAAATCCACAGCCTTCAAACTCACCATTAAGACTCCTTTCATCTCATAGCTCACTAGCAAATTGAATATATAAAACACCTTTCACACAGAAAGTCAGAGAGCAAAGCACTAAAGCAAAACAAATACCAGTGATTAAGGAAAATTGAAAGCAGCAGTAAAAATATGTTTCTTTAGTCTACTTTTAAATACAGACTGGGAACTGCAAATAACTGGGAGTACAGATAAGTGGTATTTTTTTTTTGTTCACATTATTCTATGGTATTGAATACAAATAAGGTGGGGGGGGAACCTTGTCACTACAAACTGAACAATCCTTTTGAGATTATTTATCTTAAACATTCACCTTAGTTTATTTAGTAATAAATTAAAATTTACTCAAATATTCTGTCATTCCTTAGACTGACCAATTTTAACATGCTTTCAAATTAAGTGATTTAGGAGAGGTGGTTCAAAATGGTCTTCCCTAACCTAAAGAGGTATCCAAGAGAGGAGTCACACTTTCAGGTCTTCATAGCATCGGTGTGCAATTTAAAGAGTTCAGATAGAATATTTTACTATGCATTGAACAACACTGGGATAATTTACCAGGGGATTCATGACCCTTCAATGGGACACAACTGAATTGTTTGGAAGAGTCAATGAAACACTGGAACATTGATTTTTGTGGTGTGTGGCTATTAGGGTTGTTTCAACATAACCCTAAACCCATTGAAATATTTAAAAGAATACTCCAACAATCACAAATTGGGGGAAAGAAGGAGAAAATGGAAAAATTATAATTTTTATTTTTTATCTCTAGTTTATTTATTTATTAAAGATTTATTTATTTATTTATTTATACAAGCACTGGGTACAGTCAGAAGCGCGGGAGGGTGAGAGAATTCACCAGAGCCAAAGCAGGGAACAGAACAGGCAGATGGACCAAAATACACTGCTGAGGGGAGCAGCAGGCGCGGCAGGAGAGGTCTGCGCGCCATGTGGGACCCTCGCCTGGCGGCCAAGGATGGAACCTGCGCTGCAGAGACTGTGGGCAGCTTCGCAACCCAGCGCTCAACCACTGCGCCACCAGGGGAGGCCCATTATCTCTAGTTTATTTTTCAACATTGATGTTAAAGAAAGGGCAGTTTACTAAAGGAAGATTATGACTTTGGTGAATAGATGGCAAGATTAAACTAAAGTCTATATTTTTAATGAAAAAAAAAAAAACTGAAGGGAATGCTTCTCTTTTTCTTGCTCTCCCTGGCTTACCATTATTTAACTTGTTTTCATTGCCTTTCTTTACTTCCCTTTCTTTTCCTAACATCCCCATTTTAGCATTTGTTTTATTTTATTGTTTTCTCATTTCCTGAGTTTATGGCCTTTAGGTTTATTGATTAAGTAAGTCCCCACTCATGCATCTACCAAACATAAAGGACCAAGGAAAAAGAAAATTATCATATGGTATCACTTATAGGAGGAATATAGGGATGCTGAACAAAGTGTCAAAAAATGAAAAAGAGAGACAAAACTTGCAGGTAAACCATAGATCTGAGGCATATAGTAGGGGAGGAGAGAGGGTCAAAACAGGAGAGGGAATTCCTGCTATGAGTGAGACCATCCAGTATTTTTTCTTTTTCTTTCTGACTTATTCTGCTGACTTATTTCCCTTCTAGCTCCATCCATGTTGCTGCAAACTGCATGTGTTTATCTTTTTTGATTGCTGAGTAATATTCCATTGTGTATATGTACCACTTCTTCTTGATCCAGTCATCTCTTTTTGGGCATTTGTGTTGTTTCCATAGCTTAGCTATTGTAAACAGTGCTGCTATAAGCATAGGGGTGCAGGAAAAAGACTAATTAGTACAAAGTAAAAATCAAAATCAACAAGCAACTATAAGCCAGAGACACTCTACAGGGGTGGGGGCGGGAAGACAATTGTATGGGGAATATAACCAAAATGAAAATGCATACATTGTGAAAAAAATGAAAAATGATGTAAGAATTATATAAAATAAAATATTAAAAAAATAAAATAAAACCACAAGTCTGCATTAAAAAAACACACAAACAAACAAAAAACAGGAGAGGGAAGAGCACAAGGGATTATGGTGATGGGTCATAGGTGCTGTGGTGGTGGGAGAACTGTGAGGACTACACCTGAGGGGAGAAATCAAATACTATATAAAAATGAACAATGATGTAAGAAAATTTAAAAGTTAAAAAAAAATGGAAAAAAATGACCAATCAGGGCTTAAGAAAAAGTAAAGGGAACACAAACAACAAGAAGTGTAAATAATTTGTTTTTCCTTTTATTCCCTCAATATTCTTCATTTTATATGATTGTAGGTGTTTGGAGACAAATTCTGAATCTATTTCCTGAAAGCTTAAAGTTTTAGTAAAGGCAAAGAAGGAGGTATCCATAGTTATTAGGATCAGCAGGGAAAATGTAGTAATTCCATCTAAAGTCCAGGCAAATAGATTGGGGGAACACGTCTACTGATTTCTTTTACTCAAAGTTATGTACAGACTTTTCATCAATATGCAACTCAGGGCATACGTTGAGTATTAATTAGTATTAACAAGTTTATGAACTACTTTAATTTTGTGGGCTGAAATGTACCTTATAAATTATGATTTTATTATTGCAAAATGTGTATAGACTCTTAATTTTCTTCTCAAGGATTAGGTAGAGGGCCTCCCCAGTGGCCTAGTGGCTTAAGTGCAGTGCTACATAGCTGTCCGCAGCCTCTGCAATGCGGGTTCAATTCCTGGCCAGCCAGGGAGAAACCCACATGGAGCAGCAGACCCCTCCTGTTTCACCCACTGCTCCCCTCAGCGGTGTCTTCAGTCTGTCTGCCTGTTCTGCTTCCCGCTCTGTCTCTAGTGAATTCTCTCGCCCTCCTGCGCCTCTGGCCTGTACCCCAGTTCTTGCATAAATAAATTAATTAATCTTAAAAAAAAGTATTAGTAGAATTTCTTGATTAGGTAGCTTTGTACATGTGACAAAAAATTGTTATATGAGTCGTAAGAAACTTCCAAAGCAGCCTGGCACACAGTGAGTGTGCTCCATCAATGTTTTGATTCTTTGCAACATTATCTCAGATAACATCTAGAATAAATGCCTTTTCCTTATGTCTCTGGAATTGTTTGCAGAATTCTGAAGCTCTTGCTAAAATTACACATTCTCCAGCTATTATCCCAGAAATTTGTGATCTAGGAAGTTGTGGGTGGAGCCTGGGAAATATTTTTTTCAAAAACTCTCAAGTGGCACCATCTGATATTTGTTTTTCTCCTTCTGACTAATTTCATTTAGCATTATCCCTTCCAGTTCCATCAGTGTTGCTGCGAATGGCAAGAGGTTTTTTTTTTGATAGCTGAGTAGTATTCCTCTGTGTGTTCGTGTGTATCACATCTTCTTAACCCATTCATCTGTTTATATGCATTTACAAATGATTCTTAAAATTAGGCCACACTACTCAAGAGCAGTGACTCTCAAACCTAATTACTTAGGCAGCTTAACAAATATCCTGGTCTCTGGGTCACGCCTCAAACTAACATAATCAGGACCTCTGGTGGCAGGGCCCAGGCATCAGGCTGTTTTAAGAGTCCTCAGGCGGTTTTCATGCATGTCTGGGATTGGTTATCACTGTTCTCGAACTACACTCAAGTGACTATTAAAACAGCTCTGAAAAAATGCTATGGGGTAATAAATTTTTACTTCTACTATTTCCCTAAGATAAAAGATATAAAATTCAAATAAGTAAGCATTTAAACCAGAACATTTTATATGAGATGGATATCAAATAAGGCTAATTTGAATACCTCATAATTAAGAGTTCTGGCATGGAAGAAAGCAGTCTCTAGACTTTTCTAAGAACTTTACCAACATTCTATTTGTGTCTCTAATACATGCATAATTCACTCTGATAATTGGTTTGCAACATGCTATGATATACAAATGGAATGCAAATTATCAGGTGAAGTAAATAAAGAAATGTGGGGAAAAAATCTGAGTTTAATGGTGTTAGAATTTAAGCTTATGGTCAAGAACAGACTTTATTATCCACCTTTTTTGCATTCAGAAAAGATTCTGCATAGCCATGTTTACCTAGCTGATATCCAGTGGAGACTCTTAATTGTATAGCTCAGATTTTACAAAATGCAGAAAGGGCCAGGTTCTGATCTGGATAACAACACAAGGATTTTGGCAAGAGATGTACACCTCTTCATTTCAGGGAGTTCAGTTTTATTCTTTCAATGAGGTACATAGTTGAGGAAGATCCAGTACCAGATGGTAATGTTGGCTGGGGGTGGTTTTCTCACCTATATTTGGCAGCCCTGCTCAGAAGTGGTGCTCTCAATGCCTAAGACTTCCAGTCTATACTATTTAACATGATCACTGGAAAGCCTTAGGTAGTACAGATGCAATGGAACATCTCATTAAATGTCCTTAATTATGAACATCTGACATCTGTGCTGAAATAGAACTGGATGCAGACTTTGAGTGGTTAGAGATTAAAATTGTGTATTGTTTTTAAGTCACCACTGAAATTCATTACACAGCCAGGCTTATAATTTCTAGAGGCAATTCTGATGTGGAAAAATAGATGTTAAGTTAATGGGCTGCCCATTTTAAAGATGGCCTTAGCTTCAATGGGTTCCCTCTTTCCCAGAATTTATACAATGATTTTAGCCACTGACTTTTTATTGAATAATGATAATTACAGACATCATGATTTGATTACCTAGAATGCACTAGAACATTTAATGCATAAGCTATACTATGGCCCCCCACACCACCAAGGTATTCCTCTTTTGTGGGTGGGGGACCCAGGGCCCTATGTGTTTAAGAAACTTGCCAAAGAACATATCTTAAGTGACAAAACCAAGATTCTGCCAGGTGTCTGACTGCCCAGCAGGGTGTCTGTCCACCTTGCCATCAACCCCTACAGTATTTACAGGAATATAATTAACATTCATTTTTATAAGCAGTAATAATCAGCTGTTTTCATAAAAGTTTCCCTGTAATTTAGTATTTAAACTTAAAAAAAAAAAATAGTTGAGACTACCAGATTTCATCCTTCAAGATCTTTACCATCCAGGGCCTCCCCGGTGGCGCAGTGGTTAAGTGCTGGGTTGCGAAGCTTCCCGCAGCCTCTGCAGAGCCGGTTCAATCCCCCGCCGCCGGTCGAGGGTCCCACATGGCACACAGACCTCTCCTATCTTGGCCGCTGCTCCCCTCAGCAGTGTACTTTGGTCCTTCTACCTGCTCTGCTCCCCGCTCTGGCTCTGGTGAATTCTCTCACCCTCCTGCGCTTCTGACTATACCCAGTGCTTGTATAAATAAATAGATAAATCTTTAAAAAAAAAAAATCTTTACCATCCAAATAGTTCTTATCACATTAAAGAACAGCACCTTATTCTTCATGTACATTTCTTGGTGCTTAAATTTTTGGTTTTTAAACACTGCATGATTCTTTTTATCAGAGATTTTAATGAACTTAGAAAATAATAAGAAACTAAATTGAAATGTGTTCATCCTAAATTTGACCTGGCTCCTCACAACTGCAGAAATTCATTTTCACCCTACTCTCCACCCCCTTCTCCAAAGTCTTAAAGCACACACCCACTGGGATTCCCCTCCATTTCCCATAGGAAATATTTCATTCATATAATGTCTCCTTTGTAATCAACACTGAGAAATGTCACTTTGATTAAACACAACTCTGAATGACTAAGACCACAGTACAATAAATTCTCCAGAGCTATCTTTCAGAACAACTGATTGCTCTCCAGTCTTAATCCTCCAGAGTCTTATTTAATCAAAATGATGTTGCTAATTAAGGATTAAAACCTCCGAATAGAATAAAAAAGAAGGATTTTTATTTCTCCTTTGGGCAGGTCAAGGAGGCAGAATTTGCTATAAGGAAGTAAAGAGTCCCTTCCACCTTTGGTAAAACTGCATTATTCTCTCACATTTGGACTTAATCCAAAGTAGGCCTAGTACTTTGTAATATTAATAGAGGAAGAGAGAGAGAGGAGAGAATTGCCTTGGAAGCTACATATGCCTAGGCAATATGTATTCCAAAATTTTTTCATTCAGTGCTTTTAAGTATGAATTTTCTTTAAATATTTTGTCTTTTACTCTCTGTATATTCTTTGTATCCACCGTTAATGTTGACAAAAAGACAGAATAATTTAGAGAAGTGTTGGTAACCCATTTTATAGAAAAGAGAGAACAAAGACAATGTACCACAGATCTGTTTGACATCCACGGCTGAATAATAATAACAACCAGAAAATTCTCTACTAAATGCTCTAAGATCAGGATTTCAATTATATTCTTGAATTTGCATTTAATAGTAAATTTGGCTCCTTAGATGTAAAAAACAAAGTGAAGGAACAGATAAAAACAAACCAAAACAATCCCTTGAAATCTGGCAGCAGAACTGAGTCTAGGGATGCACGGAGTTGGGGTGGCTGGGATCAAAATGGGGAGAGGGCCCAATGGGCTGTGGTAGAGGATTCTGGGCACTTTGATGGGCCACATGGTGTGGTAACATGCATTTGCAGAGTTGTGAACCTGTACCCCTGAAACATGCAGTGTTATAAATCAATGTTGCCTTAATAACCATAATTTAGAAAATAGTTGGCTTTTTTAAAATACGTAAAATTGTATGAAACTCATTGGGAGAAACTATGATTCTCAGAAATGTGATTTAATTTGGGGGAATACAAGCTCAGGTATTGGGAATGAAGTAGATGTGAAACAGAGGTACGGCACTGGTTGATGTTTAACAAATTGTAAAATATCTTTCTCATCATCTCTCTGCACTGGCCTGTGAATTTAGAATCCCTGCTGAATTAATCCATTACAGTGTAGATGTAACTGATAGTAACAACTACATTGATTGATCTCCTACTATGTGTCAGGTTCCCTGCCAGCAACATACACATTATCACCTTGAATAAAACCTAAGAAGACATATTATTATATCCCTGCAGAAATGATTAAAGTGAAGCTTACATAGAATAAATGACTCAGCCAACATCAGGCAGCTTGTGTTAAGTGGAGTGGAGACCCCCACCCAGGACTCCTGGCTCCAAAGTCACATTCTATTCAGTATGACAAGCCACACCACACTTGTTTACTTGGAGGATATATTTATTGATGTGTTTTGAGAAGGTGCTGGTAAGCTGTGTGGGTCTGTACCTGACTCATACCTCCCATTAATACTGACTGAGTCACTGTCACATTGTCGCTTTACCCACTGCAGTGACAGAACCTGAGGCATTGTCATCAAAATGGAGCTAGAGAGCAATCACCAGGAAGTCCCGTGAGGGAGAGCAATGTCAGACACCTTGTATTCTCTCCTCACTAGTGCAACCTACCAGTTGAAAAAAGACATTGGTTTCCGTGGTCCGTATTCCTGAAGGCTGGAGGCACCCAGTGGACAAATGATGTCTCTTATTCCTCCGATGCCCAGGCAGATGGCCCACAGTGCTATGTAAAACAACCTGCTCTGCTCCTTTTTTGGAATGTTGTTGATCAGATGGTAAGGGCCTATATAGAAATCCTCTGAAGGAAAAGCAACCACAGATAATAATGCAGTGCCTGTAGGGAAAAAAAGAGAATAAATATGGCAGAACCCTGTTGAATCACCAAACCACATCATAAACGAGGCTTTTTTCCTCTGAGAGTAGTATTAGGATGTGATGTGACTAAAATATTTGTTAATCGTTGCAATGCTGGAGATAACATGAGTTTCTAAATGTGAAAATTTTCTTCAATAGGTGTTTTAACTAACTCAGAGTCATAGATTTCTTTCCACTTGACCCTGAACTGTCTTTTCTCTCAGAATATATAAGCAAATCAGGCTTGTTTTAGCACAATTAAAGCAATGCAGAAATGCATCAGATACGAACCCAAAAATGCCTGTAACCCCATCCCCAGAGAAAGCCACTGTTAAGCAGGGTTATTTGTTCTCAACCAGCGGAGTGATAGAAATGCAGTGATCGCAAACATTTCAGAAAACTGCTAAGGAAAACATTTTAAGAAGAACATTCGTTATTGTAATTAGATGAGAACAGAGCTTCTCTTTTCCTTTTCTAGTTTTCTTTCTTCTTTTAGTATCCTTTTTACTTCTTTTGAAGGATTGCCTTCCTCAAGATGTTCAGAACAAGTCCTCCCAAGACAGGCCACTCTGGCATCTGAATTTTGTTGATCTAAGGTCCATTGAGGCCCTGTAGACTGACAACAACTTTTAATTCATACCCTTTACTACCTAGATGGATGAAAATTGGAGGTATTACCCAAATTAGGATTTTTATCAAAAAAAGCCTTTCTGTTAGAGAAATCTATCTGTATGGCAAGGCAAACCTCTAGTTATAGAGCATCTGGTCTTCATCATATGAGTCTCATTCCCCTCTTCTCTCCCTGAAGCCCTAAGTGTCTAACGCATTTATCAGCTCAGGATTTTATAGATATATACACACACACACATATATATATATATATATATATATATATATATATATACCCTCATTTTGCTTCACTTCTATTAGAATCAATATCCATATAGATTCCCTGTATTATGTAATTATATTTGTCCTTTTCTCCAACTAATCTGTCTTATGTTAACTTGATTGCTTGACCAGTCAACCCTAGAAGAACCCCGAGGCATAAGAGAAATTTCCTATTTGACCCTATACTCTCATTTCTCACCTGGGGGGGGGGGGCGGAGGCTGGTGAGAGGCTTGTGAGTAAAAGATGGAAGGAGAGGGCAGAAAGTGAGGAAGAAGGGTTGTCACTTCTCACTTCCATAGAGAGTATACTGTATTTTCCTTGTCCAGTAGAAATTACAATTCAAATCCATATTTTTGTAAGCTCTTAACATTTTGCAAACTATTTTTGCTTATTGTCTCATTTTGGAAAAAGGAGTGACATCAGAGGCTAGATTTTCTCATTACCATATTTTTCTTTTTTAAAGAAACAGGTTCAGTGAGGTTAGGTGACTTGCCTAATATTACAGAGTAATCCAGATGTAATCTCCCCTTTCTTAGAATTCCTTTGGTCAGGTAGTTAAATCATCAGTTCTCTTTTTCCAGTTTGATTAGTGAAAAATGGCTTTTCCATGTCAGTTTTTTCATTTGGCATTCACTTTGTTTAAATTTTCTATATAGTTGCTTTATGAGGTTATTTTTCTCAATGAGACTATAAGGTTATCAAAGCCAAGAATTGTGTATGTTTGCATATCATTTACAGTGACTTTTGCAACATAAAGAATATATGTGCATGATAGCTATTTGGTAACTAGACCCTTTAAACTATTGGGTTTGAAGTGTTTCCTGTAAGGTTAACAAGATGTGGAAATAACTGATCTCTTTCTCCTCCCTACCCCCAAATTAGTCTTTATCTCTAGAAGTGTAATGTGAGACCTGACTAGGTTAAGGGTTATCCAAAGAGGATGAGTAGAGGAATTATTATTTGCAGTAGTCATTATTTAATGACAAGGTACTTTCAGTGGTAACTTTGTGTAAATTAGGAAGGGGCTTTACTTCCATCTTTTGAAAAAATGTTGTAATCTACTTATTTCATTAGGTCAAAACTTTGTTGCTATGTGCTGTAAAAATTATGTAACAAAATACACAACTCTCTGATGTGTCTCCTCTGTGACATGTGCTGTTGTGCACTGCATGAGCCGCACACCTGTGCTTGACACATAAGCAACAGCATTTGTCATGTCCCTTGCTATTTTTCTGGGGGGTCCACTATCCTTTCTCTTCAGGAACCAGTGGAACTGTTAGAGAAGGCAGACAGGCAAGTATATAATGTGGTAAATGCAAACCTACATGTCTGATCAGAGTGTGGTCAAGCACAGAGAAGCAGGCAACAAACACTATGTGGGTCTTAAAAGAGTAACACAAGCTTTCAAATCTTGGATTTGGGATGTAAAGATAAAGTAAAGTGACCATCTCAGGCAGAGAAAAAAGCATGTGTAAGATTAGAACTGAAGGGAAACAGCAAGGAGAGGCTCACAACCCTTGGGGTACCATTGAGACAGTCTGGAGAGAGAAATTTGGGATAGATGGTAAAGTTTATAAATTATGATTTGGACTTTATTTTTAGATAAGAGAGTCAATCTATAGATTAAGTCTTCAGAGATTCATTGTTGTCAGTAGAAAGATGTGTAGAATGGACTCACTAGCAGTTTAGTAAGAAGACTGTTGTGATGGTCAAGATAAAGAAAGCCTTATTTTTGAGCTAAGGTTGTAGTAATTCTAACAAAAGACACATCTCATTCGTGGTGACTGGTTGCAATTTGATGGCACCTGTGAGTGGGGGACACAAGGAAATAACTCTCAGCAAGAAAATAAATGGGATTGACTTAGGTCTTGTGCTTACCAAATTCTAAAGTTGGGATTTAAGTCTTAGTCTGATGCCTTAGAAGGGAATTTAGACTGACAGGGGATACCATGCTAAACAAGATATTACCCAATGCTACTGATAAGCCTGGTGCCAAGTTAAAAAGCCTAAATCGCTCAAGCCTTTACACAACTCTGTTTCTCATCATCACTCTCATTCCTACATGACATATCTTTTACTTTTTCATTTTCTCTCTTTCTCTGTGTAGAGAAAAGACTGCTTTCTTCTATGTTGCAGTCCCAGATCTTGGAACAATAACTGGCACTGAGTAGTCAGTGAGAAATCTTTGTTAAATGTTAAGTGAATATTTGCCTGACAGTGACTTCATTATTATTTTGCAGAAGTGAAGCAGGGAGGAAGTTTACAAGCTTGAAGAACACTCTTGTTGTTTCAGTGAGTGCTAATATCACCTACCTGATTCTGTGTAATATATTGAATACCTAGTATCCATCCTTTCCTCATGCATCTGCTCCCCTGTCCCCCAAACCCACATTTCTGCTGCACAGTTCAGTATTGGTGAATAGCACACTGCTCTCCCAGATTCCTTGGCTCAGAACCTCGGAGTTAATTTTTGCTCCCTCATTATATTTTTGCCCTTATTTAGTTGCCAATTTTTAATGATTTTTTAATACATTCTCTCTTGGGTTGATACTTGTCCATTGCCTAGGCCATCTCCTTGAGCTTTTCTGGTATCTCTCAATTTTTTTTTAAACATTTATTTATTTTTATACAAGAACGGGGTACAGGCATGGGAGGGTGAGAGGATTCACCAGAGACAGAGCAGGGAACAGAACAGGCAGGCTGACAAAATCCCCTGCTGAGGGGTGCAGTGGGTGAGACAGGAGAGGGAGGTCTGCTTCGGCATGTGGGATTCTCGCCGGCTGACCGGGATCGAACCCGTGCTGCAGAGGCTGCGGACAGCTTTACAGTGCAGTGCTTAACCATCTGCGCAACCAGGGAGGCCCTCAATTTAACTTCTGACTGTGGATGTCCATACTGTTTACTGAAGAAAAGAGTTTTCTTAATGTATCCATCGTATCTTTAGTGACCCTTCATTGTCTGGAACAACACTTTGGAATTTTCAACATAAACTTCTAAGCTATTTGTCTGCCTCCTCAGTATACCACACCAAACAGTCTTGATACTCCCCCAGCACTTCTCAAAATCATGTCACTTCCAAACTTCCGTGGGCATATTTATTTCTCTTTATGTAAAGAAGTACAATAGTGCTTGAATGCATTCATTTTTAGCATATAGCCATAGTTCATAAATAGAAATCATGTCTCTACATCCAATCTTAATTACCATATGACTAATCAAAAGGCCACCTTTGGTGGAAACATTCCTCCATTATCCTACATGGACCTGAAAAATCTCTCTAGCACATTTCATCTTAGTTGTAAAGCAAATGAATTCTGTTTCACATAGAATTGGTCACAAATTTGGGTTTGATATAGGAAGGAGAGAGTGTTCTAAGTAGAGAAGACATAGAAAGAGGTAATTATTATAAAATATAACCAGGGCAACAAACAGATATCAAAGCATCCTGCAAAACACACACACACACACACACACACACACACACACACACTTACCAGCATCCCTCAAATAATACAGATAATGAAATAAATTGAAACAGCATTCTTCATTTATCACATTTTATGCCTAAGAATCATGTAGGAATAATACAAACTAAAAATCCTAACACGATTCAATTAAATTTCAGAATAATCCAGTCAGAAGAAGCCACTCACCTAGAAAATGTAGAAATAAGCAAATATACACCAGTTTGTTTCTCCCCAGACAGACTTCAGCAAACCATCCAGCAAACACAGGGGTAAGAATTGAAGTTCCAATAAAACACAAATTCAAGATGGCTGCCTGGTAACCACCATAACCAAGCTTGATCGTGCAGAAGGGGATCATATTGCAGACGATTTCTGAGAAGGTGAACCTCTCACACAGATCCACTAGAAGCAGACAGGTTTCAATCCAAATTTTTTTCACAGAGTATGATGAAGAGAAGTAACCCCTATGTCTTTTAGTTTTCTTTTTATCAATGCTGTGATATAAGGGTTCTTCCTCATTAGTTATTTCAAAGTCTTTAACAGGCATGACTACCCTACTTGAATACAACTTATGTTAGTGGTTTGAACTTGGTTCTTTTATCCCCATCGCTCTAATGAAGGAAAAAAATAAGATCTTTGCTTTGAATTTCACAACTACATGCTAAAGTTTCGTAAGGTTTTTTGCACATAAATGTTGTTCATTTTCATGGTCCAGGAGCCCAGGAGAAGAGGCTTGAGGATTTAAATGTTCATGGTAGCCCAGTGTAGGCAAATCTGATTTGTTTGTCTAATTACTTAGGGACTAAATTAGGCTCTTCATCCAAAATTTTATCGAATTATGTGAATCCAGTTGCATATGTGCGGAAACTCATCTGCCTCACACTGATAAAGGTTTAAATACTGAGGCAGAAGAAGCAGTTTTTCAGGAGAATTTGAGCACTAGATCAAGAAATAATTTGAGTCTAATAATTTCTGATACTTTAATTAAACAAGCCAGAACAGTACCAAGAGATAAAGCGTGAAAGGAAATCTGTTTTGAGGGGGCAGAATACCTTATCATTATTACATTTCTTGTTATTTTTGGTTGGAATTCTGATAAGAAAGCTAATTAGGTAACAAAAGTGCTAGTACATTTAGGTAACAAGCAGAGTTTGCAAGAAAGTAATTTAAGTGCACTAATGAAAGGAGAAAATATTAAACAAAACCTTCTTCCTTTAAGTTGACCCCATGCTTGTAGAACAGGCTCTCAGAGGAAATCAGAATCAAAAGGTGCTATTTGACTCCTTATTATTAGTCAGCAGCAGGGGTACAGCAACCGTCCTACACATGCTTTGGGGAATATTGGATCTGGTATCACCCTGACCCTCCAGCTGGGTGAGTGGATGCTAGCATTCTATTTTGGAAAGCAGGAGGGCACCAATTAAGCTAAAAAAGCAGCAAAGAGAACACTTTAACATTTAGGGGTTTAGCTGCAAGGACATAGGAAGACAAGGGAAGGAAACTATTGGGTCAAAGTCATAATAATTCAACATATAGGGGGTGAATATGTTATTTTCACATTGGAGTCAAAAGCAATAGAATGATAAGGGTTTTTGACTCTGATTCTTATCTTTTGACCTGAGAAATTGGGAGCAAAGCACTTTGTTTTGACCCTTTCTGATAGCCTCATTGTAATGGCATCTATTTCCATCTATGCAGCGTCACACCCCGCCCCCCTCCCCCGTCCCACTTCTTTAGTAACAATTCCCTATTTTTCCTTTGTGTAGAGTGATCATGCAATTTGTTATCCAAACTTGGACACTTTTGTGAGTGAGCACGAGGCTATATAACAGTTATTCCTGAAAAGGAGGATATAAGCTGGGATTGTCTGGGGCAAACTATCCATCCTCCCCCTCCCTCGTGGTCATCCTGCCTTCCTGAAATGACTTACATTTGTTGTAGGAGATCCTAGGGTGAGGGGTGGGATTGTTACGGTGCAGGTGATCTGCTTGTAGTCAAAATTGCTTTTACTCTTTACCCCAGAGATTTTGATCCAAGTGAAATAACTCAAGGACAGATGTAGTGAAGACGATGGAATCAGATGACAGTTCCCAAGAAGGAGCTGCCCTTGAGGTTCTGGTGGAGAACTCGGTGTCTCTCTGGTTCTCCCCCTTGAGGAGGTATGATTAGTTTTTTCTTCTGTAAAGAACACAATGTCCAATTCATCTTGATGGTTTCTGTGGCTTGCAAAGGGCCCAAACAATATTTTGTATGTCTCTCATGTAACAGGAAGTCTAGCCCTGTCATTGGCTCCTGTATTTAGCCAATGCCTGACCAAGAACTCTGTAGTGGTATTGTGCACGCTGGAGAGGGCTGCCCCTTCCCAGGACTGGTGGTGATTGTGTTTGAATTCTTTGGCTTCTCTGTGTATCCTTGCCCAAGAACAGGTCACAGGTGGGGGAAACTTGGCATTTGCTGCATGGAGTTGAAGCAATAGGGAAACACCTCTTTCTGATTGGTAGGTCTCAATACCAAGCTCAGAGTGAGCTTAAGGACAAGTACCAACTCCACTTGAGAATAACACTTGTCAGGAATATTGAACGTCATCCTCCTTATCAACAAACTGAGCCCTTGAGTGGGGACTTATGCCTACTTCACTTTCATATAACTCACCTCAAACACAAGCTTGTTCTCTTCCCTGCCCCCTATCCTTCTGCTTCTCCTGATAAAGTAATATTTTCCCTCCAGTACAGAAACAGCATATTTAGATTGGATACAATTTAGAAAATATTTTAAAATAGAAGAAAAACCAAAACAGTAATTGTTTTTAGAGCATTGCATTCCATGGCTCCCCTCCCCTGTGCCTATTATTTTATTAATAGGTCTTAAATATTTAAATTGTGTGGTTGTATACAATTACTGTATAGTACATTTTCTATCTCTTTGGTAGGTAATGGGATAAGCGCTTTAACATGCCATTATGAACTCTCTGTTAGCATGCATTTTAATAGTTGCATTATGATCTATTGTTCACTTAACTATTCCTCCATTTTTGGTTAGTTACTTTTGTCTCCTATCATTTAAAAGTCAGTTTTTCTTTAACTGTTGACCATAAACTCACATCTAAAAGAATAAATAGCATTTATAAAAATGCTGGAATGACTTTTTATGCAAAATTTCCCTATTCCCAGATAATATTCTTAGGCAAGTTTTTCAGAAATAATATTACTGGGCTAAAATGGGGGAAAGTTATTAGGTGTCTTCATATATAACATTAAACTGCAATGCAAACTCCAGGAATTTCTTTTTTAATTGAAAAGACTGTATAGTTCAGGGGGTGCAAAGGCTTTCATTTATGACTCAGATTCATATTAGGAAGATAAAAGTTATAAGCCAACATGTGAGGACATAATGTTGATCATACATATAGGAACTGGAAAATGTATCTTCTTTAATAGAGAAAATTAGAGGCCCATTTGATGAACTGGTGACCTTTCCTGTTTTTTTTTTTTTTTTTTAACTGAACCTCTAGAACAGGCAGACATCAAGTGCTGTAAGGGTTGCATTAGAAACACACCAGAAATGCAAGTCTTGTTTTTAAGGGAACTATTTTTAACTATACAGGATTAAAAAGCATTTCTAAAAATATAGAAATGAAAAAAATGAAAAACCACCTCTATAAGATATCTCCAAGTTGTCTGTGAATTTTGAAAAAAACTCTGGTATCTTTTAAAATGATATTATACTGTGTTGCTCTAATGCTTTCAAATTTTATATGTATTTGCAGAAAAATTTTTCATAGGTTCTCTAAACACTTAATAAGCATTTTAAAGAAAGAGCTTTTCTAACTCAATACTTCTCTATAAATGCTATGTACAAATGTCAATTGAAAGTCTTTATTCTTTTAGGTCTATTGATTCCATTTAATTCCATTGACTATGAGGTGTGGTGACTGGTTTAAAAGCATTGCCAGGAACAGGGGTGGGGTTGGTCTTACTATAATTTCATTATTAAAAATTATGCGTCAAAGTCTTGGATGAAATTTTTGCTTCCTCATTAAAACTGTAAAGTGGAAAAGAAAGGAACATAGTGGGTGACATTTTTTTGTTTTGGGAAAAGGACATCTCCTGCATCATAAACAGGCTCTGGCAATAGTATGCTTCCTATACCCCAATCATTCTATCCAGTGTGAAAGAGAATTCTTCAGCTCCTAGCAGACGATAGGCTCACACGATCCCAAGAGATAGAAAATGTTCCTTTCTTCCTTTCACTGAAGCTCACTGAGAATGAAGGCCATTGTAACCCTAAGGGTTTTTCCTCCATACCATACAATGACAGTTATGAAATTTACTATTGCATTGAGCTCCACATAGAAGGTATATTTGTAGAAGGTACAGTGAGTTATCAACCTATGGCACTTGGCTGGACCACAGTTCCCAGATATTTGGTGAAATATTGTTCTGGATGTTTCTGTGACGGTGTGTTTAGATGAGATTTACATTGAAATTAGTAAGCTTCAGTAAAACAGCTTGCTTTATCCAATCAATTGAAATTTGAATAGAACAAAAGGCTGGCTTCCCTGAACAGGAGAGAATTCTCCAGCAGACTGCCTTTGGGTTTCACCTCCAACATGGATTCTTGCTGGCTTTCCAGCAGTTTGCTTTTCCTCTTGAACTAACCCTGACTATACAGATACTAATGCAGACACCACTCATATCATCCCTCTTTTTCTTTCTATTTTAATCATGAAGGAAACACGTTAAGAGTTAACTGAGACATTTGTCCTGAGTTCCTGGTAAGTTGATAGACACATCCATCTAGATTTCTACTAAATATTGAAGCTTATCACATCCCTTAGCTTATTACCTCTTTTCCAGTTTCTTCTCTACTTTCTCTATAGTTAATGACATCATCATTGACTCAACTATTCAAAATAAACTCTTTTTTCATTTCTTCCTTATTGATTGCATTTACCTTTTTCTAGAAATTGTTTATATTGAGTCTCTACCTGTGCCAGGCATTAACCTGAATTTTTGAAGCTAGGGAGTATTGTGAACTCAAGATTCTAAGTATCTCACCAATCTTTCTTTTAACTTCACTATTTATTTTTAAGATTTATTTATTTATTTATACAAGCACTGGGTACAGTCAGAAGCATGGGAGGGTGAGAGAATTCACCAGAGCCAGAGGGGAGAGCAGAGCAGGCAGAGTGACAAAATACACTACTGAGAGGAGCAGCGGGCGGCAGGAGAGGTCTGCACGCCATGTGGGACCCTCGCCCGGTGGCTGGGGATCGAACTGGCGCTGCAGAGGCTGCGGCGGGCAGCTTCACAACCAGTGCTCAACCACTGCGCCACCAGGGAGGCCCATTACTTCACTTTTTCTATGCTGATCTTAGTGTGAGCTTAACGTTTCTCTTCTGTATTACTGCTACCAGTGTTGCTTCATTCCATCTCAAACCTCCTTTGTACGTTCATTGATCTTGTCCTCGGATTGTCCTGATTTTTGCCTCATTTATATTATTTACTTAATAGTCCTATTTAAAATGTTTTATATTTTAATGGGGAA